CCGTCAATTGAATTCGATGTTAGAACAATAATTACATAACAAAAAAATGGGTTGGTTCGGAACTGCGTTGGGGTTCTGCCATCTTTCTCACCAAAGTTTGACTCTCAATCATAGCTATTTCTGGGTCTGTGTTGTTGAACCATTTCAGATGAACAGGTTTTGAAGCAAATATTTCCGCTACTTTCATGAAAAAAAATGGTAAGGTCGTATCCTAGACATTGATATGTTACATGTTCTCTTAGTAACCATCAATTCGAAACTTCACTTAAGAGTTTGTGAGTAGGATATGCGAATATATATATATGACCTATATTTAGCTAAATATTTTTTTGGTAAATTGTTACGCATGGGAAGTCCAAATTGGTGATGCAATTATATCATTTGCAGCAGCACACAATACAAGCCTTGTAAAAATGTTGACCTTGTCGAAATTTCAATTTACAAAACGTCAACTCATGACAGCTTGGTCATCACTTCAGGTTTGTCCACCTACTTTGGTTTCTTGACCATGTTAGCTTTGTTAATGAAGGATCAGCTGTTTTAATCATGTGCCTTTACCTTAAACTAATATGTCGAAATAACTGTAGTTCAAGAAACATGTTCTCTGAGTCTGGTATAGCTTTGACTACCTTTTTACCTTCAATGTTTAATATAAATGGAGTGGAGACACTATGACGAAGGTGGCGGTGAGCACGTCCAACTTTCCTGGAACAACTTGTTTGGTAACACCTTTTCTTTTATAAGGTGTATGTGTCGGTGTTTTAACTGTGGCACGTGTCCTTTATTGTCTTTAGATGCTTATCTATTATTATGATTTTGGTTTCCTTTCAAACTAACTTTGAGTGACGACCTTGTAATGTCTAGTTGATCTTATCTTATCAACTTGTTTCCGAGAATCAATTCACGCTTAAAGGCTGATTACAAAAAAAATCATCCTGGTAATTAATTTAATCATAAAACTAAAAAAACCGTTTTGAAATTGCGATGAAAAAGTCATTATTCTAACAACCATATAAACGATGTTCTGTAAAGTCTGGCAGGTAATCTATTCCAATCGACGTCAATATTATGTGCTAGACAAACATATTTTTTGCCTCTCGTGCGGTCTGCAGACGGAACAGACCACACGTGCCTAGTTAGTAAACCTATGGTGACAGGATTGTTCGCACTCACAAATATATATTACAGCTGTTTGTATTTAAATAGGCAAAAGAACAACCGAATAAGAAGTATGAAAGGTACCACATAATTTTTAGTAATTTGGAAATAGTGTTTATAAGTCAAAGAAACAGAACAATACACACAGGAGAATGCTCGTCGTTGCGCATGTGTAGTAACATCACCCGTTATGCTGTCAATATTAAGACAATGAACATGACGCCCTGCATCGTGACATCATTGTATAGGGAGTGGGTGTAAAGGAAAGGTAGTTCGTATAAACCATTTTAATGACGTAAAAAAACACCTTTTTTTGTAATATGCAATAATTTCAGAGAATGTAATCAAATGGATTTAATTTGATTTTCAGTTTCATATAAGATAGATGGTTATATTTTACTTTGCTCTTCCTCGATGACAGTGAAAACGTCTGAACCTGTGTCATCTGACTAATGAGTGAAAGAAAAGTCTTCTAAGACATAAGGTTGCTTTTTTACTTCAAGACGCAACTTAATCTGAAACTGAACGAACTTTTCTCCTTCTTGTTGAATGTTGTAATCATAGTTTTCCGGTTTTATTTACATTTAAAATATCACCGCTGCCCTCGTCGCGTATGACGCTTACTTTGAATGCCGACTACAAAATAGTGTCTCTGTTTAATCTGCCGAAGCGAAGTACTTCGCTTTGAACATATCAAATAAATTCTGTACCAAAATCAAGGCTCTGCTCCATTCTGATTCCTGATCATATTATTGAGTATTAGCAACAGAATTGAGGAAATAATTTAAATTGATAATACATACGCATCATTTTATGACCGCGGTGAAAATCATATCATATTACACTTGCTAGGCACGTTGCTATGCGGTATTTAAAAGATAGATTGCAACCCAAAGGTGGCTCTGTCCGTACAACAGCTTGATGTCTAACTTCCAAATGCAGATTTTGATACACGCCTAGTGCGTAAAGGGAATCATTACTGGGTACAATGTTTAAAACAAATTTCACACTATAAAACAAATAGAGATAAATGCTGTTCAAACTACAGAAACAAAAACACAAAAAAGAACTCGTCATTGCCCGTCTTCGTCTCAGTTATTCATACGATATCCCTTTATACCTGCTGGAGCTCGGGTCCTATCATCTGTTTTCACTTTGCAACAAAACACCAGAAATAACGATTCTTTTCAGAACTTATCGACCTTCCGTTCATACGAACTTGTTTCATAATATAATAAGGCTGGGATCTCTGTTCGAAACAGTTACTGTACTTTCTGTGTATTACAAGAACTACATGTCGGTTCCCAGTATATCACCAGCTGCTTTTAACATTATATGTGTAAGCTACATGCAGAAATATTTTGACGTTTGCCTTTTAGCTGTTACCTGTACGAGGCCTCTCCGTTTGGCTCTGATGACATTTCCCGTGTTGATGAGATGTTAATAATATGTAGACGTTAATGTGTTGACATATCTATGATATAACTTTGTTGGCGTATACAATGTATCAGACATATTTGCTAAAGAAATTAGAAGCTCATAGCTTTGGCGTGCCCGTATTACTAAGCTGAATGTTAATATTAAGCATATGGCGCTATTGGACAACGACTCCATTTTTAGGCAAGCTCATATTTCCTGAATAATATTTTAAAGTAATTTCTCCTATGTTTTCAAGATTGCATTTACTTTATTTTCAATCCATTTAAAGTAATCCCTTGGTGTATTTTGAATTATTACTGTTGATCTATTGAATTATAAAAATATGATATCATTTTACTGGATATTTTCAGTTATTTTGAGATTTTTCTTGTCCTCAGTGTAGAAAGCCTTGGTATGTCTCTGTATGCTAGATGGTTTTTTTTTGGTTTTTTTTCAAATTGTTTATAAACCAGTCCTTGACGATCTGGTAGAAAGAGGCTCCGGGACCTTAGTGGGTTAAAAAGTGTTTACAAAATAGGATGAGATGTATGTATATCATTCTTTAACACAAGTGATATAACTTCAGTAAGATAAATTAGTTTGGAAATATGTACTATCATAGTTTTACTTTATACACAAGCAATATACATTTGGTTCCTTAAGTACGTTCATTGTTTGTGTATGAGGTTAAACGTTGCTATGCAGTATGTAGCTATTATTCAAAATCTAGCAATGTACATGCTATAGAGGAAATGAAATAAAAAATTAAGTATTACTATCTTGAATATACAACAGAATAGGTCAATATATCCTTCGCTTACAGTGTTGTATAAATGTTGTTACTATGTATTAACATTGCCTTCAACAAAATAAATATTTTCATTAAATATATATGCCAATGCACATGAAGGAAATATAATTATTTTGGTTGTATAAGAAGTCTAAGATGTGTTGAAGATCATTGTCATTGGCTGTTACTAACACATTTTGTAGGCATTAAATCTCACGACCATCTATGCAGGTTTTGTATGCATCTGACAGACACAAAAACATGACTGTGTAAACCTGCAGCTCAAAAGTAAACAATTTCCAGCTAAGAAATTACGATCCAAATCTTTTATTGCGTTACAAAACTTTACAGCACTTTTTTGGAATTTAAGAAGCAGGCGTTTTAATTCAAATGTTTACGGGAAACTGAGCGAGTAAACTATATCATTTTCAACTTGAAAGATAATTTGCAGTGCATCGCTTTGTTTATTATCTTCCAATTCCGCCAGATTCAAAATGTGACTGTTTTCAATGTTAAATAATTGGGGCTAAATGTGGATCAAAGCATGTAAAATATGGTGCTCTCTGCAGTCAATGTAAACCTGGTGGTCTGCTGTGGTGTATACATGGTGGTCTATGTTGTAGATGGTGCTCTCTGTGATGTATGATATACGTGGTTCTGTCTGTCTTATATGACACCGTAGGTAATACAAGGTATACTGGTCCAGTATATACAGGGTGCTTTCTGTGTTACAATGTGTTTTCTTTGACAACTGTGCAAGGTTTGCAAGTTGCCATGGTTAATACAAGTTACTGTCTGAGGAGGGTGGTGCTGTATGTGGTATGGGGAGTATATGGTGTTGTATGTGGTCCCGGGGTGTAGATGGCGCTGCCTGTAGTACGGGGTTTACATGGGTTTGTCTGTAGTTCAGGGTGTACGAGGGTTTCTTTCTGTTGTACGGGATGCATATGGTTCTGTCTGTAGTACGTAGTGAACATGGTTTTTTCTATACTACGGGGAGTACATGTTTTGTCTGTAGTACGGAGTGTACATGGTTTGTCTGTAGTACGGGGAGTACATGGTTTGTCTGAAGTACGGAGTGTACATGGTTTGTCTGAAGTACGGAGTGTACATGGTTTGCCTGTAGTACGTAATGTATATGGTTTGTCTGTAGTACGGGATGTATATCGCTTTGTCTGTAGTACGGTTTGTAGATGGTGCTGTCTGTGATACGTGATGTAGATGGTGCTGTCAATCTTTGTACAAATGAGACAATATGGTCAAACAAATTGATGGTTAGAAACCATAACGATGTGATCATCGTTAAAGAACAAAAACATTCCAAACGTAAACGAATATACACAGTTATAAGTGAAAATATAATCTTCATCTCGGAATAACAAAATATTCAATTGTTGTAACAAACACAATTTAATCTCTGAAAAGATGTAAGAAAACGTTATCAGTTTTTCGAGTATGTATTAAGTTTTATTTCTGGAGCATATTTTGCAATTTCAAAACCATCAGATGATGATTGGAATTCTTCTTTTCGTCTTTTTACACACTATTTTTAGCCTTTGATAATATCCAACTAAGTACGAAGTCGATATGAATCTGTTCTTATATGTAAACATGCTATTATTTTCTGTTTCAGGTGCTCAGTATAGGGATGTTTCAAGTGTCAATCATGGCTATATACAATTATAGAGGACAGAAGGACAATGGCCGCTGTTGTGATGGTTCCCAGGACCGCCCCCCGTGTACAATGGAATGCCGGACTTTCTTTTCTATCTGTATTCTTCATTATATAACGGATGTACCGGACACCCCATCGTGTCCGTTCGGACATACACTCACGCCGGTCCTGGGCGGAAACTCCATAAATGAGACGGCACTGGCCGTGCTTAACTACTTCCCGCTTAAAATACCATTTTCATACGCCTGGCCGGTAAGTACAAGCACATATATACTTCACAGTATCGAACCCGTCCTGTACTGCAAACATAATTGTATTTGCACAATTTCTATTAAGTATGAGACAAAGTTAACACAATCAAAGACAATAATGCCATCGTACGAAAGTAAACCAAAACAACACCAAATTAAAAAGGACCGTGTGTTTCAGATGTACCTGCAGAGAGTAAATCAGGGACTTATGACAAAACATCCGGATTTTACAGTGTATAATTATGTCCACCTTTCTATCAATCACTCTTTTTTTTTTTTTTAATTTAGTAATATCAACTGTGAAAAATTAATACATCACGCATATATATACCTTTTTGTATTGGGAGGGGGGATGTGGAATTTATATCACATTCTTGATAAATATAACTTACAATACTCAGTATACCTATCGTATAATATATTACTGTGTGTATCAACTGTAGTGGCATGTCTACCTTTCAACAATCAGCTATATACGTACCGTATCTGAACAAAGGTTCATATCCTTCACACTTAGGTTGTGTGTCATTAATTCGATTTTATTTGAAAAGGACGTTTAAATGTGTGTTGTTCAAACTAAATAATGCTACATGTATGTATCGGTTGAAATAACGTGATACTTCGAGTGAAATTAAACAGTAACAATAATGTACATACACACAAGTTCAGAAACAAAAGCGGGCCTGTTATAACCAAACCCCTTTCTGCAATGAAGTTTACGAAAGAAAGCAAATCTGCAAATAAATGAACATGATTAGAAATTGATACGGGGAAAATATAAATTACTTTCATCAAAGTCCAAAGAAAATCGCCGGTATTATTTATTAAAGCATCATGACGATTTGTACTTGGCCTAATAACGTTGATATTGCTGTAACCTTTCTAATACACTTGACCAAGATATGTGGGCATCTTGCACGCGTGGTCTGAAGGGCAATATACGTGTTAATAACACAAGCTGAGAACAGCAGTCTATTTATAAGTATGTTGAAATATACTGGAAAATCTGTAATCAAACGTGAAATCGAATATCTTGGAAAACTTAAACACATATACACTATGATTCCGTATATTTAGATCTGTTAAATTCTGTAATTAAGGCTCAGATCTGGTTTGCGATACCGTCGGTGAGCATGTGTTTACTTTAATCTAATATATTTGGGTGAAAGTTAAAAGGTGTAATCAAAGCCGTGCTCAAATTGTAAAATCTGATCTTGTAGCTGTATAATGTATACATTGTAATCCTTCGGAAATAGACGTGATGCAAATAGTCTGCAGTAGGATAGATATGTGATTTCAATGTCTAATAGAAACCCGGGACCATTCACAATAGTAATGGGGTAACCTTATCCAAATTACATTTAATTAACAATGGAATGTTTTTTTATAATTAAAATCATGTTCTTCAGATTAATTTTAAAGACTGATACAAAATAATTCACTTTGAACCATTAATATCCAAACCCACCGACGCCGTTTAAAGAAATAGTATGGTACCTCCATGATTGCCAGAATTCTGCCCATGTTAGGCTTGATCCTGACGAAACTGATGCCTTTCTTTTTTACTTCGTTTGCCTTTGAGCTGCAATGGCGAACGCCCTAGAGTCCAAATTGTTTAAAGACCCGATAATCCGAAATTCAAATGCTTCCATAACAACCAGATCTCACAAACCGTTTTAAACATAAAACTTAGCTTGAATGTTAACTTAGTAAGTCTTACAAGAAACTAACATTTGCAACATCGTACATTACCCACTACTTCAGGTATCATCAACGTTAACAAGGCTTACATTCAAAATACTTTACTTACCTTTATGACTTTAAATTTAACTGACATTAACCATAACTATCATCAACTACATGCAAACTATCGTTAACAAAACTTAATTTATCTTTAGTTAACCTCAACGAATCTTATTAAACCAGAAGTGCAAATGAGATACTAAGTATTCAATATTTCAGAAAAGATGAAGTTGGAAGTTAAAATTAGGAAAGATTAATGTAAGATGACATCTGGATTTGTGGAGTATTCATGTTAGATTTAGGTTAGAGTAATTGTTTATCTCGGAAAGAATTAAGGCTGATATTTCATTGTCGAGTTTGTTTTGCGGTTCTGTTTTTATCAACAAATTTCAGTAAATGAAAACCAAAATAGGTGAGGTGTGGTAAAGTTAAGTGAGGTTCCAATGTTCGAAGATTCTATTAATGTATCATAGCTGCTTACAAAATTAGTAAAAAAAAAATAAGAAAGTACCGAATTCATTTTGCATTTCGAATTACTTTTTTCGGATTGCTGGAAGATGTTTTTACATGTACCATGTTATTGGTTGATTATTTATCCATGCATGCATGTTTGAAACAATAAAAAGAGAAAATGAAATATTGAAAAACATAAAATTACAAAAAGGTATGAAATGAACTAGTCCTTTGTATATTTTAATGTTTTAGAGTCATTACTCCTTCTCTGAAACCACCAATGTATGATCACAGTGCAGAGAGACTATCACTCATTAAAACTTAATCGTATAAGTAGCAATATCCGTGCCCATTTAACTTTCCGGCTGCGTGCTGTCCTGCGGTAACAACCTCATTGGATTATGAGATATCCACGCGCCACCTTTCATATTCAAACTTCCATTTGTTCCTCCCTAATCCCCATCTTCGTCTAAACCCATACGCTACCCTCGTAGACCCACGATCTCTTCAGACTCGTTCTCTGTCATTCCAGACACCATATAACATATAACAAGATGCAAAGTGCATTCATGATGCCTGATTTATAATCATGTGGTCATAACGTACGTCACCTATAGTCCATGTTAATACCACACTTGGTTTCTTCCGCGTGTATGGAAATACTTATTAAACTAGTTATATCATAAACCTTGTTAGATGTAATTATTCAAGTCTACAAATATGCACATTTTATGGTGGTAAACCATATACCGCGGAGGGGAGAAACGTGCGATCAGATTAGATTCCCGCAAAGATGTTAATCGGAGGGATAACGGACCACCTACAGCCTACCAGCTTCACTACTAGCTGGGCGCTATCTTTAAATTGAATAAAACGAGTTTGCTGATATATGCGCAATAGTAAAACTAACAGAAAAACGTACATTGTGCTTATATAAGTTTTTTATAACATGATTGCACATCTGAATACTGGTAATGTAATCATTTCACTAAAAAACATAGACAAGATTGATATATGTTTAATAACATCACTACATCGTACAAATACTGCACACATAGCATTGGACTTGACACGCTGGAGAAACAAGGTGAAAACTGTATATCTTTTTGTGTAGCATTTATTTTTTCACAATTAAAAAGGTGTACTGCTATTTTTATTTTGCTGTTTTGGTTCTGTTATCTGTAAAGTGTTGAAATGAGCATTTTAAATGTTTATAATTCAAGTTACATACATATGTATAATTTGATGTTATGTAGCTCATCACGGAAAAATAAATTCGGAAGCATATAATCCATACTTACAAGAATGTATGATTCTTAATCCATTTAAATTCTTGAATTTACATTATAATTATTGTTAATTTTTTATATCAATTGTCACCATTTCAAGTGTAAATATCTTGATGTTATGCTTGTATAACGGTTTGATTTGGTAGGTCGTTTTGGAGGCTGTCCAACAGAAATTTAAAACTTATTCGTTAACATCTATTGATAATAGTAGTAACAACCAATATGTTCATATATATTTCAGAAAACTACTGTGAAAAATACTTTGTTTAAAACAAAACGGTGTATATTTGGTCTCTGAAGAAATCAATGTCCTATCAGTTATGATGATACAATGCCAGTGGAAAATTATCTGGACGGTAAAGGTATTTTTGTTCTTTATTGTCGGACAAAAATATCCCCCCTTTTCGTATTCCTGCAAAACTTTTTTGAATTTTGAATGCACACTTTTGACCAACCAATGTACTGGTCGTTGTGAATGTAATCATTCTTTTAGTGAATGAAATCATTCTTTTAGTAAATTAGATTAATTATAAAATGTATACTACATTGTCATACACAATGCCTGGCAGTGGATAAATACTGAATACAACATACAAATAAACCCACAATGTTTCAAAGTACATCAATACAAAATAAAACATACAGCTAAACACAACTTCATATGGTAGATAGATACTGGATAAAACATACACGTCAACACAACTTCTTATTGTAGACAAATACTGGATAAAACATACAAATAAACCCACAATGTTTCAAAGTACATCAATACAAAATAAAACATACAGCTAAACACAACTTCTTATGGTAGATAGATACTGGATAAAACATACACGTCAACACAACTTCTCATGGTAGATAGATACTTGATAAAACATACAGGTAAACACAACGTATCATGGTGGATAGATACTGGATAAAACATACACGTAAACCATACAGGTAAACACAATGTCTCATGGTGGATAGATACCGGATAAAACATACACGTAAACCGTACACGTAAACAGAATGGCTCATGATAGATAGATACTGAATAAAACATACACGTAAACCATACAGGTAAACACAACGTCTCATGGTAGATATATACTGGATAAAACATACAGGTAAACACAACGTCTCATGGTTGATAGATACTGGATAAAGCATACAGGTAAACACAATGTCTCATAGTACATGTAGATAAATACTGGATAAGAAAAACAGTTAAACACTTTTTTTCAAAGTTGATTAGTTCAGGGTAAAAACAGCTAGGTAAAGCAATACTTCATCAGGTATCAAAGTGTAATACACAAACACAATGTGTAGTTTTTTTTATCATTTTAACATCTTGACACTGGCGTAAGTATACATAAAAAGTACGAATTGACAAACATAGAAATACATTTCAATTCGTATCATTTAAATGCCACAAAAAATGGCAAGCAAACTAATATTTCTGACGAAGCAGTATTTCTACGATGAAGATTATCGGATCACTATTGTTAAATTTACATTTTGCATAATGTATTTGAAGCTTTAAATGGAGATTATAAAACAAAGAATATCACTTTAAAGCATCTCCCAAAAAAAACAATGAATTATTTTGATTTTGGAATCGATAAGTGTTAGGTTTGGAACACCATTTGAAGAGTAAAATATCTGTACAGCACATCAGATCAAGCTCAACTGTGCTAATGGATCAAATGTGTGTGGTTTACTGATAATTTAAATTGAGAAAGACAATAGTCTACCTTCTGCGTCGCCCCTTTACTTCTCTTATCGTGTCATATAAATATTAACTTCTAACCTTTAGTCCTGTATGGTTTTATCGGACTACAAATGTTGTCACTGTTGTAGTTTTAGATGAAACATGTTGCTATTTAGTATCGCGATGTAATATTTGTATGGATGGGCCCTCCGTGAATTTTACAGGTTTTACGTGTTCCTGGTAGTTGTAACACAGATTAAACTGCTTTTAACAAACGTAAACTGTAATAGAAAAATGGTCACACACAAAAAGTGTTCCTCTACATCAGCTTGCACCTCTATGCACTGTTGATTCTGACAAGGCGGAGGAGTATGAATGACGGTTAATGGGTAGTTGGGTTTGTCTGTACAACGGAACTTGTCTTTAAACACAAATCTGTATGGTAGAAGAATACTGCAGGTGCAGACAATGTCGACATACGAACATGGCTTTCGACAGGACGAGTGAGTGGTGAAGACAAGCCGTTTGTTTTGGTATCCTAAAGCGTCGCTACAACATACTTCACCATCTGGTTACTTTCACTTTCCATATATCAAGTACTATACAACACGTGCTGAAGAGGGAAGGTCTGCAGTGGGTATATAATGACTTTTACACACGCGTGTGGGGACTGGAGAGCCTTGCTGACATCTGGTTAGCGTTTGATTGGCAAAGAATGTACAAAACATTCATTCTTTACAAGTTAAGTAATCAGACTGTCTGCACGTAAGATACGATAACCTTTTCTTTTTTTTCCGTCCATGTTTTTCTCTTTCTGTGTCGGATGCATTAGTCCCGTTTATCAATGAAACACTGTCATCTTCTGACGTAATTTGGAAAACTATCCATTGTCGTACTTTCTGTTTGAGATCGCTATCTCTGCTAACACCATGTCCGTCAAATTGCATAGCCACGATAGACTGTGTCACAACATCTGGTAAAGGGGATTACCAAACACGCAAATGTGTTAAAGTCATGTAGGTAATCTGCAAGGCTTGTATCTAATGTACGAAACACACTCTCTGACCTAGTTTTGAACTTACACACATTTGTTATGTGTTCGGTGTTATATGACAATGTTTCATCAGTTTTATAGAAATACATACATACAAATGTTACTGTATCGTCCATCTGCTGTCGGGCTTTCTTTACAGTATAAACATTTATTCTGGAATGATTACAGGAATTACTTGTTTAAGAAGACATTACTTTTAGCTGTTGTGGTCAAATGTTACATATTAATGCTATAAAGGGTTTTGAATACACCCTTCTCCTTGCGTTGTATTTCTACGTGGATAATCCCGCAAATTATTTCCTCCAGAAACAAGTTTTTTTTAATATTGTTCGTTGTAGGGGTTGGTGTATGGTGTGTTTCCTTTTTTATAATGTTTTGATGTCTCATTATTGATGTTGCTTTTCGTATTAACTTTGATGTGTATATTGTTATTGATTGTATTATATAGTGTTGCCCGAGCACTATTAAAAATGCATCAAATTTAAGACATCCTTTTTCACGTTCTGAACAGATGTTTTAACTTCCTAAACGTTAACATTGTATAATCACAGCATATGCAGTGAGGAATGAGTATAGTTTCTCTAAGCACTGTTTACACTCAATAATTCAAAATAACACTGCATTTTTATGTCATCTCTTCATTGACTTTGTACAAATTAAGATTTCACATACAAGTTACAATAACAATTAAATTGCTATCTTCTGTACTGCCACTTTGTTAAAAGGAACATCCTATGAGTGATGAGTGATTAGCCGTTCGTGTGTGTAATACTCTAGTTAAACATCCGAGAGTCAGTAGGCTACACAATATAATTATATCACGACAATGGATAGAAATCATAAGCGGTCATTAGCGCAGGTTATTTTATCTCACAGCAAAATATACACATAGACTGACAGCGTGTTTCGTTTATCTTAATTTCAAAGCAGCAAGTATCTTCAAGATTTGAGAAAAGTATTTTAAGCAGATTTATAAAACCTGAGAGGATATTCCTATCTTTTCTGAAAATAACACTTTTTGGTTAAGGGGTGGAACGCTTTGCAAAACACCTGTCTAGGTGTGATGAAAGATGAAGCAGTTTATTGAGATATCCTTATAACTCGTATTTATAGCATATCTTATATTTTCTACACACGGCAATGTCACTGTAGTGTACAGGTTGTTAAATCAGTATAAGAATCAGACGGCTATGTCACTCTAATGCACGAGTAACCGTATCAGTATCGTACGGGTACGGAGTCAAATCAGTATTGGTAACACACGGTTAGGTCACTGTAGTGTATAGTCTCGTTCAAACAGACGCTTGATCACTTGTAATTCACGAGTCTCTCTGTTTGGCGTAGCTTGCGCAGACAACAAGAGTCTGGTTGAATGAGACTATGTAGCAAATCAACTCCTACAATTCATCAGTAGTTTAGGTAATAGGTTTTGTGAACTTAATATGTTTTTATCCATATTTCAGGGGTCATTTACTCTCGTCATAGATGTTGTACACGACGCCTTCCACAACAGAACGCTAACAGGTACATACCATATATATTAACTGTTGTGTCCCTTCATAAAACTTGTAAGTATATTAAGATAAATACCTAAAAGCAGAGACTGGCTACGAGCCCCCTACGTTTTATGAAGAATTTTTCGGCTGCATTTTACTACTAGCTTATCTAGGATAAGTTGTTTTCTTAATTATTCAATATTCTACAGACGGACGCCAGTCGACTAAAAGCACTGTACAATTTCGTTTTAATTTTGTCTTTCGGATATTATATAACAAAATATATTATGGCTAAAATTATATATTGTAAAATCATAAATGTTCATGGGACATTAAATTTCGTTTATTTCGTGGATAACAAAAATCCACGAAATCAAATCCCCACGAAAACATGAATTTGGTATGATATAGATAGGGGAAAATCAAAATTCAGCTTTATATAATGTCCTTGAAACAGGCTAGTATATGATAAATTTTAACCCCACGAGAATGAATGATTCTACAGTACTTTTGTTTTAATATTATCATTGAATATTTAATAACACTCATTAAGGCACCCTTATTCGTGTACTTGAACAGGCTGGCCATCAGGGAGTACGTCTGCACTTGTGATCAATGGTTTACACTGTTATCTGTTTCAGCTTTAAAGTGTAACTAGCGCATCTTCAGACAAATACGCCACCTACGCCACAGCCACACAACCGCCCCAGTATATAAATGCGTGCGATATGGACCATTTATCATGGAATTATTTTTCAACATCCACATCAGTTAACGGCTCTTTAAAGCGTCAACAGTTCTGTGCAATTTGTCATTCTTATCACATTTTATTTCATATTCCATTATGAAGTATCTTACTGAATCAGTGATTCGTTTCTATTAATCTCTAGATAGCAAATATACATGTATTCATAAATATAGTTGCACGTTTAGAATTTAAAATGAAGTCTTACGTTTTTATCAAATTAGTTTTAAAAAAAATCTTTATGCTTCATTCTTCAAGTATCAGTTAAAAAAATTATTTCACTAAATAAACTGTGAAAAGGAGGAAAAGGCAAGAAGATAATTGGATGACACATATGTTATGATTTATTTATAATAATAAGAATTCGAGGTTCTTATATACAAGACGTACCACTATATCACAACCGTAGGTCGTCTCAAATCGGTTCACATTTTTTTATCCGTGGTTATAGGGCCTTTGCAACCAGCCAATAACTTTCGCAACTCCCTGGGGAGCATACAGCCGATGCTGCCATTTCGGCGCTCACAGCTAGCATTCAACAATTCTAGCACTGCCCTATCATGTACTCATTTACAGCTAAGTAGACTGGAACGAGCGGAGTAAAGTATCTTGCTCAAAGATACAACACAGTGCCGTGACGTGACTCAAACCCGCAACCCTTTGTTCACGAGTCCGGCGTCCTACCACTGGACTACTGTGCCTCCTGATTTCAGAAAACAATTAATCAATTTTTCCTTGTTTTTTTTTTATCAACAGATCCAACCCAGAGAATATTACGATCAGTGGTCATTGACAGTCTTTATCCTCCAACTGTTTGGAAGAGGGAAACAATGGTCTCGGAATCAGTTGACCTGTTTTTCAATTACCGGATCCTTTGTGATGAAAACTACTATGGACCTGAATGTAACGTCATATGCAGACCCCGAAATGACAACCTCGGGCATTACCTATGTGACGAAAATGGCACGAAAATATGTTTACCTGGATGGGAGGGAGAACATTGTCAACGAGGTATAGCATTTGTTAAAAATCATTGGATTCTTAATGAACTAAAAGAAATCTTGATAGAATATAACCAATATTTATATTTATATATATATAAAACACAAAATTACAAGACCAGAGTTTCTTGGACTTCCTTAGCGTTTTCTCCTCTTTAGAGGGTCCTCAGGGGAACTGTTTAACTGATGAACCTCTAAAGAAGATAAAGCGCTAGGGAAATCGAAGAAACTCTGGTTATACACGGGGAAACTTTCTCCGAATAAAATATTCGCCCTTAGCCGTTAACAACATCCATGTTCGCCTTTCATATGTCATTAATATATATATATTGTATGTTATGCAATACTGTTTACTCTCATGATTAATTCAGTCATTGGGGAGAGCAAAAAAGGCGAAAAGTTAAAATAAGGCAAAAATTTCCCGGTACACAGTAGTGAACAAGCGTACAACCTTACATAAAAATATGTTTTGATATAATGCATTGAAAATAGGGGTACAGTTTCTACTATTGTCCGGTTTACAGAGGTATATTATAGATCATAATATCGGAAAGTATTTTAACCCCATTTTTTTGTCTTTCATTTAGAACTAATGAAAACATGAAATTTGAACTTGCATTTTAAAATTATACACCCATTCAACAAAACTGTTTGCGAGCTTATCAGCTTGTGTATTGCACGTTGCAACCCTGCTAGGCCCAACTCATCTCTTCCATTAAAATCTTGAAATAATTATTTTAAATGGTTCTATAAGAAATATACTTAAAACATGGTATGCGCAAAAAATGACCCAATTATCGAGAACACTAATCGTGAGGCGTCTTTGTAGAAGTAAAAACCCGGAAATACGAAAAATAGTAGCACGTGAGTCATTTTTTGTGAGTCGATGGAAAAAGCCACACAAAGAAAACAATGTTTGATAGACCAATGGCATCAGTTTCGCGATGGCAAAGCGCGAGAATCTAAGTCTCCGAGCAAGCCCAAATTGATGCAGATTTCATAGGTTTGTCTTTTTATAAACAAGTGTATTCGGTATTTGCTCTGGTTGATATGTCGAAAAGAGCGCAAAAAATACAATGTAATTCTGCAGTCACTCTTCTGTGCAGGAGGAACGTTATTCGTAGCGTATGTGCATTTGATGATCACCCTGGCTTTGATTCCTCTTTAAAGGTCGGCAAGGGGGTTTTGGTTGTGTGGTAAAACCGAGGCAGCTTTCTAACTATGCAGTATGCACGTTGTATATATATTTATTAGAACTCTAGATCTTACTGGGGAGGCTGATCTCAAGAAAACTGCTTGATGGCGACAATAATATCTGCACGAATTCGTACAATCAGTCAAGGGTTGAGTTTATGAATAGGCGACCTATCATTGAAGCACCATGTGGGGTCAAGTTTTCGTGAACGTACCAGGATTGTAGACCAAACAATGGCGGTCTGGTGTTTGGTTCTCCAACAAACTATTTGGGCATCGGGAATCTAGCTTAGAAACATTGCTATGCCGCCGGCAAGCGGTGTAAAATCCCCATTCTATAAACCATTTTACCTGTGTGTTAAACTGTACCGTGTAACATAAACTCTTGTGATTAATTTAAATTGTACGGTTGTCACGGTTATAATGGACTCACGAGAAAATTTGAACAACATGTATGCCTACCAACATATTGCATCCGCTGACCGCGACAATATGTATGAATTATTTGAGAAGATTGTTTATAGACGTTAAGACACAAATACTCGAAATAATTCCTATTCAACATTATCAGGATGTCGCAACTGGCCCGTCCCGCCCCACTCCCACTTCCCACTTCCCCCTCCCCCTCACACACAAATTATCAGATTGATATGTATTGACATTAAGTACTTTTGTAGACTTATTTTTTATCATAAGTGCCAATAACTTGAATCATTATCTAGCCTTACCAAACAATTTGTCATATGTGTTAAAATTGTGATACATCTGTATGTTAATACTTTGGTGTAAACAGTTTCATTTATTTGTGTAAAATACTACTATTGGGCATTGTTTATTTACACGTAGCTAATATGTGAATAACATTCAGAAAAATCCTGCATTATCAGCATGTTGGAACTAAAACGTTGCATATATTGCAATCCTATCATATGGAGTTGCTCCCCTTTGTTATTTTTGAAATATACAATCTCTTCATCAAAATTATTGTATATCTACCATTACTCTGTGCTGTAATCCCTAGTTTCTCCCATTGTGAGCTTTCGGTGACGTAACTGTGACGTCGATATCAGCACAATAGCTACATAAAACCTACCACTTTTACGTTTCGTAGTGTGCACGATACATTTGGTTTTACTTTCAAGAAATTCCTTTTTCTTCTCCATACGATCATGATAAGTATCTATTTTAAATCCTATTTTATCAGTTCAACTCAGCTACACACAAAGCCATGACTTCCATACACATTATTGTAAGAAAACCTAAAACAAAGAATAGAATTGCGATTGTTTCAGAGAGTAAGGCTTTATCAGACTACCCAGACCTAGGTTATAAATGAAAGTTTGTAAATAATCTGTAAACAGTTCCACGTCAAAGAAAATACACTGTAAACAATGTGTCCACGCCTATACCATATGTGTGTTAAACAGATGGTGTCCGACAGGAAGCATCACGTACGAGTTTGATTGTGTATTTTATTTACTAATGAATAACACTGGATTGCATCTCTTGGATCGCAATTTCTTATTTAAAGATGATGCATTTTACGCATCCAATCCTTGCAGGTACTTGTTATAGCAGTACAAAATAGAATACTATTGTTGTAAATTTGTTGACTATTGTTTAATATTTCAGCAGTCACCGTCAATTCAAATGCGAATGATAACATGTGAAGTTCACGTGATAAATCTTTATCAAGAAGGAGCATGAACATTGTTACGTCACTATAGAACAATTTAATGACTTAATGTTTACGTACAATTAGTTGAGACAACAGCTGACCTAAATGATATCGCATATTATCACATTATAAGTAATATAAACTTCACTAACAATAGGCGATAATAGTTAACGTTACGTTTGAGAAATATACTTACACGGTAAGCATAACCTGTTATAAATATAATGCTATTAATTGCATTATTATCGAATTATTTATTAGATGATAGTTTATTGTTTTAACATGATAATTATTTTATTTGGTTTTAACTTTATTTATTGTAATTGAATACATGGCATGAATAAAACAAATCACATCAGCAAACTTGATAAGCAAACATATACTTATATAAGACCTTCTCATCGTTCTAACAAGTTTGTGGCCGTATACATAACTAATGTTTGATTATGAAGACAAATGAAAAAAAACCATATATGGTAAGGGACATTCAACAAAAGATACATTGGTATTCCATGAGATAGTAAGAAATCATATAATAATGAAAACATTTAAGAGGTTTTCACAAGTCCATTTAATCAACATATCAATGCTTGTATTACTTAATGAAAAAGTTTAGACTGGACTATGTAGATTTGAACTCTCTCTAGAATATTTCTACTTTTTGAGCTGTTGGGAGGTTAGAGTCTCCATATACATGTAACAATATATTGGTAGAGTGTTGCAAAAGGAAGGCGGTCAAGGTATTTTCGTCTGTGAGTTCCATACTTGCAACAACGTTTTAGGAAATGTTCGTTACTTTGTAATATTTATGATATTGTTTGTGTTAAATGGTTTACGAATGATGTTTTTAATCTGTTTTTATCTACTTGATATAAGTTAAATACAACTTACGTATTATCTTGATATGAATTAAACATTACTTAAGGATATGGATGTGTAACAATTTATTTTAAACATGAAACCTACTACAGGATATCGAAACGGGGTTACAATGATTTTCTATTTTCTACGGAGATGTATTCCTCTTTGGATATATTTAAATAAAAATGTGTAGTTATGAACTGGTAGAATATTTTTGTACATGAAGGCTAATATCTATTGATAGTTTATGTTCCACGATGTCGGTGACGTTTGTGCACCTCTGTTTTCTACTAGTCTTAGTTAAAGTCCTCATGTATCTAGCCACTTCGTTCCAAGTAAAATATCGAGGAGTTGCATGATTATGCGTTCATCTTCCTTCCAGGAAAAGCACGCCGCCCCTTTGTGCCAGGTAGATAATCAAGCCATTGTCATCACTAGAAAAAAAATGACTGAATTGTGAGACAATAGTGCTACTGTCATGAGTGAGATCATTTTGTATACGGAAGGTTGATTTGTTCCCTTAAAAAACTGTTTGGATTATCGGAAAACCAGAGTAAGTGTTGGCTTGATGAATGATGTTCAACTACACATGCTAACTACCTATGTACATTGAAAACCGTTCTTCTTTTCAGCACTTTGTCTGGACACGTGTAACAAGACGAACGGAATTTGTGAGGAACCTTTCACGTGTCGGTAAGTGTAACGACTGTGCATTATTTTGATTTGGTACATGGAATTACGTCAGCAATAAATATCATTAGAGGCATCTAGCCGTCTGCTCACACGATTATATTGCCTATGTTGACATTAAAAACACGATAAACAAAATTTTTAAAGTTGTTACATTCATTTGCAATCATAAAAAGGGGAAAAAACAACAACTTCTGATTGGCGAAAAATGTTCACCGACACTGTACTAAAAGGACGCCAAATTCTTTTTCTCTCGTCTCAAATACACTACTTTATCCGGAAGTCAAGTTTTAATATCTATTGGCTTTGTAGCTTATCATATTCGGGGAGACAACTCGTACGTCCTTTAAGTGCTGCGTCCTGTATTATAACACATTGTAGGTTATTTAATACTTTAGAAACTGCTGTTCGGATGAAAAAGTAGCATCTAGCGACTATATTAATCTGAGGACCTTCTCATAATGTTTTATTTATTTATTTTATATTTTTACTTTGTTCTGGTTGGCTTATATTCTGTAAACATACCACATTTATTTACCGTGGTGAAAACCCCAAGTGTCAAATTCGTTCATACTCCTGGAAAAAGAACGCCCATTATGGAGATTACGTTTGATCAGCAGTAGGTAACTGATTGATGTGTGGAATTCTTATATTGTTTTTACCCTTTAGTACAGTGTATTTATATTATATGGAAGCCTATGGGAAATTAGTCCTGGTATGATACGTGTAATTTCCCTTCCATATCTTAACAGGTTTTTTTGCTTGAACTGTTTTAGATAATATTTTCGTCACACTACACGCGTGTATGTTTCTTCGTGGAAAACTTTAAAAAATAAAATAATTGAAATATTACAAAAAAATATTTGCTGTGTGAACGTTTTGCTATATCTTCATTTTGTTGTGCAGAAATCAGTGTTTTTATGAGATATATATATTAAGACGTCAATACCTGTTTGTAAGAGGAAGTGTGAAGTTCAGTGTACGTGATGTAAGGAATGGAATAGCAATGCAATTGGTGTTATGAACAATTGTGTGAGTCATGTTCAATTCTATTGTTGTAAGACTGTGTTAATTAATCTCAGCCCCTGTTTGATCTCAGTAGAGAGTTCATTTTCACGTCGACCATTTATAACTTTCATATACCTTGTAAGGCTTTTTTGTTCTGACGCTGCAGATACAAATTGTACCACGATAACATGATACTGAGAAATATATCTGTAAAAGTGCATTTAATTACATGTGCATACCTTCAGTTTTCTTTATATACATGCTATCTTTTTTTCTAAATTAAATCATGACGTATACCTTTTCCGAATTTATATAATTACTTCCCAATATTCTGCTTCAAACACCCAATAAGCCACAAGCAATGTCGAAGACGACAGATTCCACTAACGTGGGCTTGATTAAATCGGTCAATCGGATAAAAAAAAAAACTGTTATATAATAATAATAATTCGAGGTTCTTATATACCGCTTTATCACAACCTAGTTCGAATGTCTTCTCAAAGCGGGTCACAAATTATTATCCGTGGTTACAGGGCCTTTGCAACCAGCCAATATCTTTCTCAGCTCCCTAGGAGCATACAGCCGGTGCTGCCATTTCGGCGCTAATAGCTAGCATTCAGCAATTCTAGCGCTGCCCAACCATGTACTCATTTACAGCTGAGTAGACTGGAACAAGCGGAGTAAAGTATCTTGCTCAAAGATACAACACAGTGCCGTGACGTGGCTCGAACCCGCAACCATTCGGTCACGAGCCTGGCGTCCTACCACTAGACTACCGTGCCTCTTCGTTATGTAATACAAGTTTCATGTTTTCTTGTATTAACATAGTATTGGATGTTGTATAAATGTAAAATGTACGTGTTGTCTGTTTATAACACTATACATGTATAAAAGCTGAGTTTTTTGTAACGTTTATTTAGTAAATCATTCGTGTATTTACAGGTGCATCATGGGATGGACAGGGGAGTCATGTGATCAGTGTCTTACCCACTCGAAATGTATGAATGGCTACTGCTTACAGCCGTCTCAATGTATTTGTCTAGGAGGTTGGCGGGGAGAGTATTGCAATATTGGTAGGTGCAGAGTACTACGCATACACAGATCTAGACATAACCATGGAGAGTAAAAATAATAAGCTCACAATTGTGCACAAATATTGACCGTTAACTTGTTTTTACATTGTAATTACACGCTACAAACAAAAAACAAATCAACAGGGCTGTGATCACATGTTTAGTGCATTGATCGATTCTATGCAGCAATACTTGCGAGGTAGTTATAGGTTTAGTAAAAACGTTTGCTTCATTGCCCTAGTATTTGCTACATTACGTAATAAGAGTAATTTGGCACATCTTCTGTATTAAAACTGTGCTGTAACTAAAACGACAGCTTGTAACCAAATAGACTGATAGACAGAAAAGGAAGTGGGTGAGTTATGTTTTTTATGAGCAACATTCGTGATCCATTTGATATGTCTTTTACAAAATACATAACTTTGAAGGTTGTTCGGATTTTCCTCGATATCCAGGGGTTACGCTCAGTTTCGCTCCCTGCACTACTGTAGTATGTCATATAGCAAAATTGAAGGCACGCGTCAAGCTATTTGATTGCATTGGTGTCAGGTGAAAAAAACTGACCAATCACTAGGCTGATACTTGTCCTGTGAATATTACAGAGGAGTGACGCCCGACTTTAAAGCCAATCAGATTTACCGTTACGCGACAGCGACATTCTTTTGATGTACATCGAAGGATCATACTAGTCTTCTTGTCTCATCCACAAGGCGGTGCACACTTATCATTCGATTTTGCTATGACATAGTCCAGGGGTGCAGAGAGCAAAAGTGAGCGTAGCCCCTAGATATCGAGGTTGTGATTTTCATATATGGTCTTAAAACTATATTTGTATAGCGTCAACCAAGTGCCTACATGTGTGCAGGTGGTACTAATTAATTAAACTGCGTGTTACACTGATACCAATTAATAATCACTGTTTCTCGCTAACATATGTTTCAGACACAAATTACTGTATGAAGACTCAGCCCTGTTTGAATGGAGGAACTTGCATTTTTGACCTTAAGTTAAACTACACGTGCGTATGTCCTCTTAACTTCACGGGAGTTCACTGTGATGCTCATCTATGCCATAATGAGTTCTGCGAGAATGGCGGTCATTGTCAGGTATGTTTCCACCCACCAATGGTGCTATTGTAACCTCTAATGTGCCATTGAGTGACCGATATCCTTTTCTATTAATGTGTATTGATGGTAAAAGCCTCATCACTAACCGAGAATGCGGGGCCGCTGTAGCCAAGTGGTTAAGGCGTCTGGCATTCTGCTACCACTAGCCCTCCCCCATTATGTGGCGGTTTTGAGGCCTACGGGGAGCAGTCGCCAGGTGCTGGCCGTAGGTCGGTGGTTTTTCCCCTGGAACTCCGGCTCAACCACCAAAACCTGGCACGTCCTTAAATGATCATAACTGTTAATAGGACGTTAAACCAAACAAACAAACGAACAAAATAACCGAGCATGCATCACATCGCCCATCCTCGAAATTCAAGGGGTTACACTAGCTTGTGTTCTCTGTATCTAGAATATGTCATGACAAAATCGAAGGATAGCAATCACACGGCAGTGTTATTTGAGCGGCTTTGAAATCGGGTATCGCTCCTGTGTAATCTTTAAAGGCCGTTTTTTTTCATCTGAAATCAATCAAATGTCTAACAGCGTGCCTTCAATTTTGTCATGCTTGTAATATATTCTAGAGGTGCAGAAAACGGTCATGAGCGTAACCGCTGGAATATTTTTACTGCACATCGCCACGCCCATTGCTTTTCAAACATATCGAAAACGATAAATTGTACCGCATATATTGCTCGTATATCTTTTAAGTCGTCTTTGTATATTACAAACTTATTTTTTTATTTTCGACAGTATTTGATGTGAAGATCCAAAGTTAAGATACAAGGCAATGGGTTCTGTTTCAGACCCGAAAATTATAAAGTCCTAAAAATGGTAGTTGTCATTCCCTGCTTAACGTTCAGCATTTCAGTAAATGCTACAACTGGTTTCCCCGTTGTCAGTATAATGTGGCCGGGTTTAATGTTGACATCAATTCCGCGCTATTGAAAGGAGGTAACTCCCCCCCTCCGGCAATATTAACACACATGCACACAAGCATTACACACATTGCGGTACGTGCTTAAAGGACATAAGCTGTTAATAGGACATTGAACAAAACAAAACTGAAGCAAACGTTAAGTTACCGAAATAGGGTTGCTTGTTTCACACTTATACGATGACAAATGTATTTCTTATATACACTTATACTAGGCATGATATATTTACATTTAGCTCATCGAAGTGTTGACATGACGTGACCTTACGTGATTATTTTGTAGAAATTGAAATGTGCAGAGCTGAAAGGTCCCCAGCAACCTCGTCTTTGTAAAGACTGTATCACATTAGACGATTAGGTTCATTTAATTTGACAGAAAACTCTAGCAATAGAAAATATTTTTTTGAAAGAAATACAAAATACTGAATTAACAGACAGGACAAGTTACCAATGATATTATTATGGAACGCACCTTTTGCATCATATTGACCTCTTTTAAAAAGTCAATTCAACTGAGGAAGGCGGGCACGAAACGTGCTTAACTACTTGTACAATGATTGGAATGACTTAACATTGTAGCTCGATCATCATGATGTTAACGCATTTGATATAGGTGATAAGCATGGACACGTAGTCTTCAAACATATTTATTACCGGTATAAATCGACTTCGGTCATTTCGAGATATAACATGCTTCTAGTTGTTTTCATTTACCTGCCTACTTATATAGTTTTCATATCAGAAAGTACAGTATGTCGTATGTGCACTCCACCCTTGTTACATGAACAAAATCGTCGAAAGACAGTCATTGTCGAACGACTGTCGTACACATACCATACATGTGTTACGGCACGATTTCTCACCCCGACACGATTTATGGTGAGAAATCGTGCAAAATTGCTACGTTCTTGCAACACGATTTACTGGTAGGCTCAACCAACGACAGGTCTATGCCATATTTTTTTAATTCAGAGTTATCAAGAGAATCCAGATTATATATAGGCTAGATATCGAACATACAGCACTTTTACGACATCCGTGTGCCTGTCGTTAAATATTGTTTTAGGATTAAATCACGACAGTCGGAGAAAAGTTAGTACGATAGTTCAACATTCGTAGCATAACTGTAGAACCATAGTTGGTCATTTCTACGATTCTGAGGGTCTCAGGTGATCCATATTTCATACAGAGTTCGAAGGTTTGTCGTACATGTAACACAGTCCCTAATGTACATCAACATTTCGAAAAAGTTCTGACGTCGATAATTACCTACGACGCTGTTTACAATTCTACGACATTACTTTTGAACGCAAAACACTTGGATTCCGTTTGACATACCAATGAGTGTCCTAGGATTTCCTCCATTTTTCTGTCGTAGACCAGTTTTATACCTGTTGTGCGACGTATGTAAATGAGCTAAACACCTTTTGAATGCTATGGAGCACGTTTTATACCACAGATGTGTTTTATTGCAGGACGAAGATCATGGACCGACGTGCACTTGTTCGGCAGGGTATCACGGTAGCAGATGTGAGCACCCCGTTCCCACATGTGACGAGATCGAGTGCAAGAATAACGGCACGTGCATGATGAACGAGTTTGGAGCCACGTGTGATTGTGAAGCGTCTTTTGAAGGAAAGAGATGTGAAATGTTTATAAATCCTTGCGACTCCCTTCCTTGTAAAAACGGTAAGTTTAATTAACTTTAAATAGCATTACCGATGAAAAGTAAACTCTTAATGACTTAGTTGAATGCGTTCTATCACAGCAAGATAAATAAGACTTGAGCATGTGCAATGCCAAATCGTTCCTACATTTTTTGTTAATCACATTTTTGCAATTCGTAAGTCCATCAATTAACAACGAAAACTTAAGTTTCAGTTTATGTTTGGAAAGAGACAGATTTTAATGTTGCTGACGTATATAAAACATACATGTCGTGTGAAAACAAATAAATGAACTATGTGAAGAAATGCTGGAAAAAAATTGCATTATTTTAATCATTTTTTTTCCCCGTTTTATGACTTGCAGGGAAATGCTTAAATAAAGGAAGCACGTATACGTGTTCTTGTGAAGAGGGATACAAGGGCGACAACTGTGATAGAACTGTAGATCTATGTGATGACTACCCGTGTTTCAATGGCGGCACGTGTTTCCTAGACAGTTCAAGTAAACTTCCGGTTTGTGCGTGCGCCGACCATTATACTGGCCATGACTGTCAGATTATTAACAACTTATGTGTGAATGATCGTTGTCAAAATGGCGGATCCTGTAAGGGGACGCAATCCTACTTTAAATGTGTATGTACAGACGGATATTCTGGTATCCACTGTGAACAGAAACAAGATTTATGTCAAAATGTCATGTGTAAAAACGGTGGCATTTGTAAACATTTCGAGAATTCCACCAAGTGTGTATGTGACCCCGACTACGGGGGGCGGTTATGTGAGGTTCCACTCCTTCAATCGGACCAATCGGCAACCCATCCGACCCTGGGAGATAGGGACCGAGATATGGGTTACGTAAACAGTGGTCTCGCCCTCCGCTACACAAATTTCTCAACGATGGTAGTAACACTCGTAATGATATATTTTTGCATATCTGTAAAGCTGTAAAACCATTTAATTAAGACTAAACCGTGTACTACTTCTATCATTATACGTAAAGAAGACAAACCGAAAGAATGTTTTTAAGTGAAATAAAAAAGTAACATTTTTTGAAGTTATATTAAAAAACTTTAAAAGAGGCATTTCTGTGTCTTCAATTAGATTCAGATTCTGACGAATTTATATTTGCATAGAGCGTTGGTAGATGTATTTTTTGTTCAATTTTGTTAGAAATACACCAGATTATACCTTGGGTACTGTAAAACAGTATGAACACGTGTAAGTTTCACTTTAATTCCACATAGCATTGTGACAGGTAAATTAAAATCCAAATACATGTATTGTATACAAACATAACTAAAGTCTTAATGATACCGATTTCATTGTCGATGACACTGAGCGAAATATTAATAATCGATCAGGTTTACTACTGTTCAAGCTGGGTTGATGCCATGTTATTTTCAGAAATATAATTGTTTTATTTATAATGTTATTTCTATTGTTGGATTATATTTGTGAATAAATTATGTTTTCGATAATAATGTCTGGTGTTCTATCAAATATATACGTATTGTCTATTAATTATTGCTCTAACAGAGGCCTTCTCAAAACGTATTCATAATTTCGTCCTAATGTTCTTTCTAGATGACAATACAGTTTTGTGTATATATATCTTCAGTTTCTTTGCATCGTTGGCTCGCACGATATCTGTCGTGTGCTTGCAGTACACGATTAGAGGGCGTTTTACTTTCATAGCGCCCGCCTTTATTTACAAACAATTTGTACTTACACGCTACCAAACTAGGCAAAATCACAGAAAAAAATGACGTCACCATAGCAACTAAGTACATTATGACATCATAAAGCCTTTTGACTTTACATTTGTTATCATAGTTTATAAAATGGTTTCAAGTCATCTAAATCGTTTTGTAGAACAAAACTTTTGTTGATACCCGATAAAACACAAACAAATCAAGGCTATCGATAAAATAATATTTTTATTTTCGTGGTTCCTTGGCAACCACGCAAAACCACGAATGCATTTTTCATGTTATACGGAACAAATGATGAGCTGTCTATCTTTCCTTTATGAATAGTGAATACACATGTTGTGGTTTACTGTGGCTGAAACCATACTCCCTAGTATTCTGAGATGTCTACGTCTACAAAACAGTTAATAATCTTCACATCAACACACGTGATGTAAATCCACCTCAATCGATTATGTTACTTGAAGACAATTATCCGAATGCGAAACAGTTATAACGGGTGTCGTCAATACGTCAGAAGACGCTTATTCCTCCGGAACATCTAGTTTTATTATCCATTTTTATGTTTCACGGACTTTCAGCGGTTTTGTTAGAAAATCTTTTCTTTGTTCATATCAAGTCATGTTTTCATCGATTTCAGTGTCACGTAACAATTTTGTTTACATCTCGATATTATTTTCTTTCACAATTACTACTGACAAAGCTACCTGTTGAAGAGACAATACATTTTTTTTAAATCACGTATGTTAATAAATATACCTTGAAACATGTACTACTTAGTCATTTCATTTTGACAACATGGACGAAAGTGATACTGCGGTTTTGAATCTTTACAGCAAGAAACCGTTTATTTAAGGTTCCATTTTAGTACCTGTACTTTAATATAGGCTATCGTATTGCTTTTCCGGTTTTGGAACTGCAGATTATGCACGAACGCTGCACATTTATGCAAAATTATATTGCGAATGGTAATTGTTCTCACGAGTAAGCCTGATTATTGGCAATAGTACAAACCCTCAGATACACGTTAATCATTATTGCATTGAAAGAAAATCGTAAGCGGAAAAAAAAGTTTATTCATACTGGATAATATGAATGAATTGCAACATGGTTGATTGCAGCGAATGTTAGTGTTTAACAAACACGAAGGCATCACCAATTTAAATCAAACAGTACTGGCCAAAGTCTGACACATAAGTCATTAATTTTATTGCTAGACTCCAAAGCCGTGACACACTTTGTTCTTAAACATTGTTGTATAGATATTAATCAATTGTTTTAAAAGTTGATATCCAGACGTTTGAATTTTCTTTTCTTTTTCCAGTTGTTTTTTCTAACGCTTACGTCATTCTAGAGTCGTGCCCAGACGATTGTGCTATCACCTTAATACTGTCGCCGATACAGGAAGTCACCAAACACAAGTTGCTCGGTCCTTACACCGACGTAAAGATACGTTTCTGCGTGGTTGTGTTATAGACAGGCAATTAGATTTGTCAACTTTAATGACGATAAGAGGCCTATCCAATACCACAATTAACTTATGATGCTAATCACGCTATTCCTGTTATTGGTCCACTATCGTATCCAGTGTTCTAGGTGTTGTATACGATAATCGCCGGAATGAGTAATTTCAGTTAATCTCTTACCGGAAGTAGTAATTTTTATTCAATCGCGCAGTGAATTGGCGATCAATCACGTAGCATAATAGACTTATCCTATGAATACTCAAAGACACCAAAACGGAAAAGGTTTCCAATGCCCGATCTGGACAAACTGAAGTACATTTGGTAGGATTATCTTTTCAATTGATAGCGCCTCCATTGAACCTGCCAATCGTTCTGAGTCTATAGAAATGACTACATTTTGAACATAAATATCCTATCTAACTAGTTGCTCCACCCACCAAGGACTGTAGTTCTCAGGAAGGCTATTTGATTTTATTTGTACGTGTCTGAAATTCAATATAGGCAATTACAAGTCATAAATAAGACTCCGAATTGGATCAGTATGTTAGCGTCAGAATCGAGCAATGCATGCCGCCTTCTCTTAAGTATTGGCGAAACTGTGGTATCTACAAAACTACTTGTTTAGGAAGTATATCGTATATGGAACTGGAAGTGTAGACATTTTGATCGTGAAAACATCACTTCACAGTTCCATAGGGTCAACTACTTCCATTGATATACTCGTATATAACCAAATCTTACACCTGATTAAAAATAGGAAAATAATCACCAGCATGGCTGTACTCTTTCCGTGTGTGAAAGTACAATGCCAGCTGCCTGCGTGGACCGTCGTGCTGTATTTGACAGTTCTGTTATGTGCAGCAAATGCAGACACCTCGTACAACTCCTTCACAAAAAACTTACAAGTGGCACAAGAAGTAGAAGGATCTGCTTTAAGTTCCGGTCTTTTGGTCGAAATTGCAACGAGATCAAATCTGGAATGCGGCATAAGGTGTTTTGCTACTTCCGGTTGCAGAGGATTTATTTCCAGTGGCGTGGCTCCCGGTACCAAATGCCAGCTGTTTGACAGGACTCTTCGGAAGCTGCATACTCCAGTGTCTGACAGTACTGCTCTCTACTTTCGGATGGACATCGGTACGTCAAATTTAAAGGCTCTAAAACAAAAACTAAATATTTCAAAAATGGTTATATGCATTCATTGAAGAAACCACTATAATTTTCATTTTTTTAAGAATAGAAGGAATCATTTTTTGTGTGTTTATACAATTTCAGAATATGCGGCGGCAATAATCGTTGAAGATTAAGTAATTTCTTGTTTTTTGTGAAAACTGTTTTTGAAGAAACATTTATTTTTTATTTTAATAATTCGTTTCACTTAAAATCAATAATACCTGTACTTATAGCGAAATACATTTAAATTCCATTTCGTAGATGCTTTGTTGAAATGTGATATATACAAGGTAGGATATTATTCAGTAAATAATGCTGCAAAGTGTCCTGTACAGTAAATACAGATTGTTACATAAAAGCGTTATTGGATTTAACCCGTTGACAATGAAGGAAAGACGCGCTTTACCTTACAGAACACATCGTTCGAATTATGGCTATATTTACTTGATTTTACGTTATTTAAAAAATACAAATGTTGATGACAAATAAAAAACGTCAAAATGACGTTTACACTATGATACATATTGTCACATTAGGTAGGTTCAGTTACAATAGGTAATCTATAGATTGAGAGATATCTATGTAACTTTAGAATATTATGTAAAAATCACATACATGTCTATTTCGCTTACTTCGAGTAACAGTGACAATGCCGAAACGTCAGAAAGACGTGTATTTTGATATTCAACGGTAAAGGTACCGTAGAACATCTAAATACACGTCAGTCTGACGTTAACCCAGTGTAAATGTTGCTCTATATCAGCTAAGTAGACAGCCCTGTGACGTTTTCACGTAGCTATATTTACCGTAGAATATATAAATAAACATTATCGTGACGTGTTCGAAAAGATACAGTTGCACTCTGCCATCTAAAAGTTCACGTACAAATACCGTTGGACACCAGAGATAAGCAGACCATCAGCGTTCCTTATTCTGGTTGGGATTTAAATCATATAGAAAGTCACAGCGTGCAAACTATCAGTTTATCCAATAATAATCAATGTGCATCTATTATTGACAGTGTTCATGAATTAATTCCCTATTTCTACGATTCCCAGCTTGAAATCAAATCAATTTGAATAAACAGATTAATACGATGAGACCTAAAACGTGTAATCAAAAGGTAAGGTTACCACGAGATCAATATGCCCACGTAAACTCAGATGTATGAGGACTACTGAGTAAATACTGGTCGGATCACCCAACAAAATTCCGCGCAAGCTCCTGACATTAGTAGGTCTATCTATACGCAGCGGAAGTGAAAAGTGTTTTTAATAAGTATTTTAACATATATTCAAACGCGCCACAAGAAGCTCACAGCTTTCAATCGGCGTCATCGCTATATGAACTATATGAAGATATAAAACGTATGTGAAGACTGTGTTCCTAACACAGTGCTGTATAAAATAGGAGATGTCTATGGTGTTTTGTAATCTTTTATTTCAGTTATTCATCCTCGCTTTAAGGTTCAACAAGTACCCTAAAAGATGCAATAACACACCAAAGTTTCAACCCACAGCTATGTCATAATTAAAGGCCCCAGTTAAAAATTGGTGAAATTCAAATATGTAATGTGAATGTAAGGAAGCTGTAAAATGTTCCATAGCGAGGTTAACATTGTCAACAATATGACCTTTAACAGGCTCTTATTTGCCTAAAAATAGGTTATGATAACTGTAGCATGTCAATCGTTTTAACGACACAACTGAATGCTATGAAATGATATATTATCTTAAAATCATGAAAATACACTGTACCCAGGTAATGCAGAATTAATTTCTCTTTTACTAGCTAGTGAAAGCCATGTTTGCCTCGAAATGAGATGATTGTGGCTATGGCAATATTCTGGATATGTATCTGTTTCGTTTCTTTGTTTCAAGAGAGGCAGAAGTGTGTCTAATTGAACAAACAAACCTCTTACGAATTTTCCCACCGTTTGAAATGTATGATCGGACTATGATAATCACATTACATGCAATTCACCTGTTTAAGCAAATAAAACAGAATCAAAGGGCATGACTGATCATCGATAAAATCAGGACCTAGAAGGATCGGTTGAAAACAAAGTCGTATTCCTAGTGCATAGTTCAAATCAACTCTTGAGTTGTTTGTTACATTACAAATGTATACAAAGACCTAATCTGTTCTCGAGGGCATTATTGCAGATACATGTAAGGATTCTTTCCTTTTCATTTGGATGCCAACAGTAAACGAAATTTGTAGCAACAGTCAATATTATACCAGTACGTGACATTCAAAGTTAGCCTTTTAAGGTCAAGGTTTTGCTATTTATAGTCGTTCTACGTCTGACAAAGCAGTCCTCCGAATATTTGTAGGATATTACATTATCATGACAATGTATAATTGAGTGATTCTTAAAAACTTATATATTTAACTTTGCAGACAGACATCGCTTGATTATATCTATTCTACTTTGTCGACAAATGTCACAAAATGCATTTTTACCTGAGCAGTAAGGCGATGTAATTTAGCCCCATTTTTTAAGTTGGGCTGTTTTTTATGCATGCCGATAATTTTCAACTGCTCAGACTCAGTGGCACAGCAGTTGTTAATCAATGCACAACGATTCAACTATGGCATAGTGGACTATGTAACTTTATAACTGTTTTAATTGTCTGTAGTTACGTTTCCTTTCTATTAGTTTTACCATAGCAACGTCTATTTAGTTTTCTGAGTAAAGTGTTGATATATGTTTCCGCGCAACTTCCGTTTGTATTGTTTCCGTGTTGGTGTATCAGGACATGTGTTGATAGGTCGCAAACAATGAACTAGCTCTCCCAATTGTTGTTTACCCTTTCACCACTTTAGACTTTAATGGACTCATCCAGATGAATATTTGGTAGTGTCTAATCAAGTTACCTAGGGATGAATAGGTTAACCTACATAAAACGTTTTACCGCCAACATGGTAGAATGTGTTTGTTTCTTTGTTTAAAAAGTAACCGCCAACATGGTAGAATATGTTTGTTTCTTTGTTTAAAAAGTAACAGTAAAGACTGCATATAATAAAGCTTGTCGAGTATATATCTTCACTTAAAACATATTCTAGAGAGTTATATGTGTGGTTTATCACATTCGTAAAGACAATATTTTCTCATGTTCCAATCCCATGCAAAACAGCTAAAATAGGGTATTCAAAATTGTATCACGTTACTCTCACACTCAAATGACGTAACAATCAATATCTGGTCACAATAGCAGATAACTCTGCAATACGAAAAGACGAAATAAACAACATCAATACATAAGCTAATTGGTACAGAGTATGTAATGAAATGAAATATCGTAACAGCTGAATATTTTTTGTCAAAACGTTGATATTTATTTGATTGAATAATTATAGAAATTTTGTACAATCCATCAGAAAAAAAAACAATCAGATAGCGTCGTCACACAGGTAAGGTTACCTGGAATAAAAATTAATCACGTGACCAAACAAAAAAAAACCCCATGACTTTCGGTTGGATTGGTAATTCGGAAATTTGTCATTTAATTTTAAATAACGCAACTGCTTTGCATCAATCGTGTCAAATCAAGTAGAACACCGACGAGGCCAACAGGTACAAACTGTTCACCCGCCTACCGCAATCAATAACCCATCTGTTGTTATGAGATATTCCCCATCAATTTGCAACTTAAAACTGTCCCAGCTTGAAATTGAATATCTCCAAATCAAACGGTTAAAGCAATGAAACATAGCATGTGTAATTGAGAGTTACAACTAGAACTAATTTCCTCTTATTAAATGAAATTTGTCGGAAAAGAGCATTGTTACAAAATAAGTGACAAAGTAATACAAGTCATTTGTTTGCATTTGTTCACCAACAAGAGTGATGAACAAAAGTTGTAATATCTTGTTTCATAATTATTGTGAAATAAATAAAGTGTCATATATGTGTTTGCAATGTCATCATAAATTGATAAGGCAATTTCCAAATAATTTAAACAGCAAATGCTTTAATAAAACAAACATAAAGAAGCAACATGGTATGTACACACAATTTGTCTACACGACCTCGTTGCATATTTGGACCTACTCAATTCGGACAGGCTATCCATCCTCTAGTTGAAAGCTAAACCCATTCCTTATTGACGAATGGAGTCTCAAGTACTCAACATTGATCTAATCTAACAATGGACTAATTACACACTTGTTCTCTTTTCCTTAGTAGTGTATTTCGCTCTAACGCATGTCAAAATGTTTTACTGGGAAACAATCGACCCAATTATATGTATGATCACTGTTACAAAGTTATTGTTATACTTACCTTTCCAAGAGTGTCGTATACAAATTATAGCTGATTTTGTTAACTTATGTTTTTCCCAAACTAATGTTTTAATTTCCTGATGCGTCAGTTTCATGTCATCTTGTAAAATCATGTTTTTGTTTATTGTCATAACGCTGACTTGCTTAAAGGTTTATTATCGCGTTTCCAATGTTTATTATAAATATAAATTAGAAACACTAGTACATCGCTTGAATCGTCCATTAAACTTAACAGTCTCACCATAAGATGTCTTAATTGTGCTATTGACAGTAACGCCATGCTCAATGCATAGGTTGACATTTAACATTTCAAACAACATATTATGATGAACATTTTAAGATATCAATCTGAGTTATTAAATAATGTTGTTTACAATATAAATAAACTAATTACTATTTTCTATTGGGCATACTTAACTTCCAAACTTGAACGAAAATTGTTTCATTTATATTATATATATTCAACTTCAAAACGTTTTCTTAAAAAGAAATTACACACGAAATTGGCACACCAAACGTTTTAAGACAAGTTATTATTAGTGAGCAACAGGTAATTGCACTTCATGTGTAACAACTGTTTGCTTGTCAATACGAATAGCCGAACTAAGTGTATGGCTTTATTCTATATCAACGTACAGTATTCTCCAATATGCTATTTCACGTCCACTAAACCAGATACTAAATAACATATAATGTTTATCACAAGTGCCCGTTGGAAACAGTATGAAGAAAATGCACACAGAAAATTGTTTCTTAAGTGAAAATATCAATTGGAATGGAAGTTCAACACATCAAGTGTTATTCGTTAATGCGTGTTTATTATATATCATACATTTATACAATATCCCTTCCGGAATGTTGCAGTCACGGCTTATGATCATCATAGAAATAAACAAAAATCAATCCTTCAAACACAAGTTATATTTCACATGAATACTCCAGTATTTCTAAAATTGTGATGATAAGCTGTATTTATTTCGGGGGGAAATAAAATGTCCATTAGTTGTATATATTTTAAGTAAATATCGATAGAGATGTATACAATATTCTTCATACACAGGGAGATTATTAAGAAATTAAAGGATAATCTCGGCCCACTAACAGCGTGTAAACAATATCGCAGTGGTAACTACATCGAAACTCTTTTAGACATAAATACATTATCATAAGGCTTTATCCAAAATCATCTTTATGTATATGTGTCATAATGTGTGTTATTGATAATCACGGACGGGTGTCAACAAGACTTGCGTCGGGTGAAGGACCTGTTATATAGATTATTTCGGCTAATCCTTTCAATAGATAACCCGACTGTCCCTTAAAATGTTAGTAATTATCTGACTCCAATTGAAACGTGATAATGTGAAGTAGAAATGAACTGAGGAATAAATATGTCAATCACCATGGTCTATTACGTACACTTAGAGAACTGATTGGTTTCTAGCAATTCACAGAACTTTGCACTATCTAGTCCCTCGGTCTTTGATACATATGCCTATTAGGTATGTTATTTGATTTTTTAGACGTATCAATATCGAAGCAAGAATATATACATTAGACCAAGGTATCTATGGCAGATACAACCCTGCAGGTTCGTGAATAGAACAAGTACACTGTCACTTTCAGAATTGCGGAAGAGGCGACTAATGTTGGGCCCTCTTTGTAGAATCGGTAGCGGGTGGCGGGTGTTCCTCTGTGTCTTCTGCTTAGGAAACCTGGACGAAACGAATATTCTGCTGCTCCCATTGCAATACTTGGGATCTATTTCTTTTGATTTTCCACTTCCCTTCTCTTTCGTTTCGGGGGTGTCTCTTTAGGTACCAGACTTCAAAATACTTATAACCTTATCTATTGCGAGGACGCCAAATGCCTTAATAACAAACAAACCATGTAATACAAGAGATTTTTTTATTACCGTTAATTATGGGATAATTAAGACATTTTCATTTTCTGGAATGAATTTGAGATTTAAATATTCTTATTTGACGTCATTTGACTGTTGTAGTTAACTGCCCACTCAGTTTCACCAACTACAGCGGTATGTGCTTCAAGGAATACACCACGCCTATGACGTGGACACAGGCAATGACGTCATGTCAGCAGGAGGGTGGATATCTCTTCGATGTATCTACTGCAGACAGACAAACGTTCGTACAAGGCGCATTTGGTAAGTGAAAACGTATAAATTTACTTAAAAAGTTCCCCGCTAACATCACCCGGCAGTGTATAGCTCTGAAGTGTGTTATATTTTCTCTACAGCATGATACATTTGTATTAACTTATATTTCATAAACGTTTTACGCGGAATAGTCCAAACGTAGTTTATGTATTGAAAATTCAATATTACTTTGAGGTTTCAGACAATATGCTTGTAAACCACGTTAAAATTTGATAACTTATCGAACTAGTGAGCATGAAGCACTCTCCTGCAACTAACCTTTGTCGGCTTATTTTAGTATAGGGCTTCTATTATTCTGTACCATCCCAATCCTGGCTTGTGCCTAAGTTATTCCCGATTCTTAGTCCTTCAATTGAACTACAAATTACGCGATCTTGCTCAGTTAGAGCTAGTCTCATCTTAGGGTTGGTATGAAAGGATTCAGTAACGGTATTTCATAACAACTGTATGACATTCCTTCAACAATGCGTTCACGTCATTTCATCCGAAAAATGTTATGTCAACAACAATTTGACGTAACGTCAACTTTGCAGATATGACAGATCAAGTATCACTTAACCACTTGGGGTGAAACGAGGGATTTTCTTTGAAACTAATTGCTCATAATATTTCCAATAATTTTGTTGTCGAGTGTAGCAATTTCTATCAAATACATAACATCTTATTTTCAGACATCAATTTTGACTATCATCTCGGAGGATTTCTGGAAAACGGTAATTGGATATGGCCAGACGGCTCCCTGATGTCGGCCGGATACACAAACTGGGAATCAACTCCAACGACTGGGGGATGTCTCAAAGTTCAAACTGGAGGATCATTTTTCTGGACTGACATAGATTGCAACGCAGACCTATTGAGATCAGTGTGTGAAATCAAAATACCAAACAGTTAACTGCAATAACGTGTAGTGTTTGTGTAGATGTACCGGTGATTAAAAAATACGAATCCTTCAAACTATGAACCTACAGGCTTTACTTTTACATGTATTTTTTATATTTCCTCTTTCACAGTTTTGTACAACCTTACAAAGACATCATGTCCGGTGAATCATATGAAAATATGACATAAACAGTGATATTACAAAGGTGTTCAATTTAATTAAGCTGTCAAATTGGTATAAATTAAAATACATGATAAAGTTGCATGGACGGTTTGCGGGTAAACACGAATATGAGAAAAAGTGGCATGACCCACGTTATCTTAAAGTAAAAATGCATGATATCAGTTCGTCTACCCGCACAAACGCAATATATTAACCGAATACCGATGATATAAAAATATGTAGATACGAAAGAAAATTATGAGGTACAATGTAGTAAAATGTCTTCGGTCATCGTACATGTATTAAAGGATTTGTGCAACAGTGGTCAAAAATGTGTCAAAATAATCTATAAACTCATTTAAATAACCTTTTTTTACGGGAATGTAATTCAACATTCCGATAATGTATAATTGTTTCGTTTATGGGCTGATGTTGTAGCGCGGAGAACACCAAGCTGGAGTTAATGAGCTCGCTGGTCACGTGATCGCGTGACGTCATAATAGGACGAGGGTTTCCCCAAGCTATCCTTAGCCTCTCGCGTACTTGACCTTGGCTCACTTCGATATCTAATGAAAACTTCGTAAATTTATCAACAAACACCATGTCAGATACCGATAGCGATGTTCCTGAAGTTGGGGGTGAGCTTGATATTTTACCCTACCAATTTGAACCCGCGAGAAAACACGTAGATCGAGTTACAGAAGAAATGTATTCGTCACAATCAGAGACAGACGAGTCTGATGACGGGGACGACCATGCCAGGGCACGAGACATCCGCACAGACAACATCGCATGGTATGTCACCTCAAGAAAATGAGAAATAAAATATAACTACGAGTACATGTTTTGTTGAAGAAATCGCAAACTTCCGATTTATGTCGAAATGATTGCCAAAACAGCAAAAGTTTTTCTCTTGATTCCCATTCTCCCTGCCCCTCCCTAGGCCTAAACGCGGAAACGTTCAACATCTTTCATAAGCCGATTGAGGATTACCGATTTTAAATGTATTTTGTTTATAACAAAGAAAAGAAATAAATGTTCACAGGAAAATACTTCATATGTGCATACATAATCACATATTTATAACGTCTTTTCGCGGAATCAGATTCAAGGCTAGATAAAAGATGAAGTAAATTTATATGTGTATGTTTTGTTTTCATTTTTGTACGTCATCACTGATAGATTGCGAAATTATTTCTTTTATACTTGTATATATATTTAGGTTAAAATAACCCATCCCTGGGGGGTATTTTTTTTAACTTGCAAAGGATTCTTTTTTCAAAGAATTAATTTACCTAAACGTTACTATTTGGTTGAATGTTTTGTTCAGGACTATTATCACAAAAATATAATTCAATAAATAAAATCCTATAGGATTAATTTTTGTTCATCTCTTTATTTGCTGCATCTCGTAGCTGTATTTTCTTTCTCCATCAGTGGAATGTCCGGCAATGCGTCATCTTTCAGCTTTGCCCTCCGTGAAAAGTTCAATCCCAAACTCTCGAATTTCGAACTGTGGTACTGGAACATGTCCATTGAAAAATGCACACTGCATAAGGTGTGATGATTTGTTGCTGTGAAGCTGGACCTTCGACAGTAATGTTCCCATGTCGATCTCTGCACGGGATTCTTCGGGAATTTGAAGAACGAAATTCCGTTTCCTTTCTTCAGTCTATTTGAACAACCGAAAGCCGCACAAAACACCATTTTACCAAATAAAAGTATACACCAACTTTCATTCAAAAAGTTACGTTGTCTTTCACAACAAGATTTCCTGTTTACGCTAACTCGGAGACTGTGATCAGCTGATATGATATGTAAACAAACAGTGTAATATGGCGGCGGCTTGATTTTTCGCGGACTATTATGACGTCACAAGGGAGTGGCCTCGTTCCGGGTCACGAAATATGCATAAATGAGAGGTCAACTCGTATGACCCAATAGTCGTGTCACTTCAATGTAACCAGACAACGCGTGCGGGATTGGGCGTTTTAATAAGGGTTTAAAACACAACTATTTTATAATACAGAATTTTTATTTTTCGTTGCACAAATCCTTTAAGCATGGAAATATCGTACCTGGAAATCAAGTAATTTGAAGACTGTAACATCATGTTCCAAGTAGTCTGAAGCCATACCAGTGAGAAAACTCTGCACGGTAGCCATTTGATAAGCATTACGAACCTATCCATAACATGCTGTTAACACAAAGGTTAAAACGATAGCGGTTTTTATAAAGGATGCAAACGCCCACTAGTATAATTCTCTGTTTAAGGTTTATTCTACGCAGACTTTCAGTGGCTTGACACCGTCAATAACCAACAGTAAGTGCATGCTATATAGTATTTTATAAAACTATATTTAAACTATATCACTGATTGTACTACATTGCGCCATGGACGATTTCGTTAATTGTGTTTGTGCTTTTTATAAATGTTGTGACGAAATGCTTTTATTAATAAAATTCCAACTATAAAATTTTTTGAATCTGTTTTTTTTTTATTGAATTAGTAATACCTTCATTCCTCAGCACTATGCTATAACATTATTTCCAAAGAAAGTCTAATGTGAGTGTTTTTGATAAAAGATAATCAGACAAATTAATAGATTATATATTACATAGCTTACTACACATTCCTTTCTTAGTCATTGACATGTTCTAAAATATGCATAAGATCGTACTGTTCATACATATACAATAGTATCGAAACAGCTATTATAAAATTACCAGACATTGATAACACGCTGAACTGAAAAGAGTCTTTCACATTTACTCGAGTGTAAATCAGAGATACTGAAAACATGCTAAACTGAAAAGTCTCTTTCACATCTACTCAAGTGTAAATCAGAGATACTGAAAAACACGCTGAACTAAAAAGTCTCTTTCACATCTACCCAAGTGTAGATCAGAGATACTGAAAACACGCGCAACTGAAAAGTCTCTTTCACAGCTACTCAAGTGTAAATCAGAGATACTGAAAGCACGCCCACCTGACAAGTCTCTTTCACATTTACTCGAGTGTAAATCAGAGATACTGAAAACATGCTAAACTAAAAAGTCTCTTTCACGTCTACTCAAGTGTAATTCAGAGATACTGAAAAACACGCTGAACTGAAAAGTCTCTTTTACAGCTACTCAAGTGTAAATCAGAGATACTGAAAAACACGCTGAACTAAAAAGTCTCTTTCACATCTACCCAAGTGTAGATCAGAGATACTGAAAACACGCGCAACTGAAAAGTCTCTTTCACAGCTACTCAAGTGTAAATCAGAGATACTGAAAACACGCTGAACTGAAAAGTCTCTTTCACATCTACTCAAGTGCAGATCAGGGATACTGAAAACACGGTGAACTGAAAAGTCTCTTTCACATTTACTCAAGTGTAGATCAGAGATACTGAAGCGACATTGTTAGCATACACGTTTTATGAAATAACATGAAACACCATTAATGAATATCACACTTTCATCAATTAATTGTTCCATGAAATTCCTTCTTATTATGTTGACTTTTTTTGTCTTGAAGTCTTAAAGAGAATTTAAGAATTTAACGAAATGTTTACTTTATGTTTATGTTCAAATCAGGAACTCGCATGAGTTTCCATTGATATGAGATTGATGAAACACGTTGAGAATGTTTCGATTTAAAATTTAAAATTTAAACCGGCTTAACGAGTTTCATAAATCTCAAATCAAGTGGAAACGAATGTGAGATTCTATTTATCACATGACGCATACATATTTACAAAAACATCAATTTTAATCTCATTTTGTTTTCATTCTTTCTTTATCAATGACGAATAACGAATAAAGGCTAAAAGAATATCATTTCATAGAATGTGATGAAACATCAACTCATTTTATCATTTGAATTGTCAGCTTTTGTTTATTTTTGCAAATGTACATCGAAAATACTTGTTTGTTATTAGTAATGCAAATAAGACAATGTTTTTAACAGTAAGACCTAAAAGATGACCTCGCCAGACTGGCAGACAGCATGTAGCAGAAAGCCGCGTCATAAATAAAATCGAGGTCACATATGTTTCCGAGCCGGACTAGTCACTGTCGCTGTCATAACGATTCTTCTTTATTTAATGGCTCTTGGATAACTGACGTTGTCCTCTTTTGAAACCACATTGATGTTGAAGTGTATAATATTACCACCAAACATTGTGTTAAGTCCTCCAAGAATATTCATTGATGAGGTCTTACATCTCCGTGGCTGTATATTGGACCGCGGTGTTATTACAAGTCGGAGTCAACTGATTCTGTTGACATTGTGACGAGGCGAGAGCCATGGTTCCAGGAAGGACGGATAATATGCACGAAATGATCTTGTGCTGATCAGACTTAATTTGACCGTAATTAATTACAGATTGCATATCTTTATGACCCGTTATCAGCATGATTCGGTTGGTAATCCCGGTAACATAAGGCCTAGTTGGCTCGTCAGATACCAGTTTCATACGATTTCCCGGCATATCCATCGAAAATCAATTCCGTCCGTCTACACTGTGTATTCGTTAGGTCCTTAACTAACAAGCATGATTTTCGCGAGCTCATTGTTGTATATACTGACCATATCATTGATTGTGAAAGTAGTCATTTATTTTTAATACGACTCGTAGTAAAAACTGTAGTTCTGTTTACAGACTACGTCACGCGTATTAACACACACGAAATGTGAATAGACTGGCCAATCAAAACCCTCCAAGGTGTTATTACACGTGTTGTGATAACAAAATGTATGTACATTGTAATGGGTGTTATGACACTCATAACAGGGTAGTTGTGTGATAAATACTGTTCTATTTTCCATTTTACGATTTTATTTCGGTTTTCATAATTTTTTATATAAAAAATGCATATGCCTGAAAGATTATTTTAAAGCAGAGGCTATTGTTATTAATGTTTTTTTTGGCAAAATTATTTTATGTCATATGTATTTCTAAACAACTCTTTTAAATAAATTTCGAGAAATAAAGCACACATGTGTGTTAGTTGGTTAAAGGGTTGAGATTTGATAAGGAACATACTGTAAATAAGGGTATTATAGTAGTGCCCTATGAAAACGTTTAATGATATTAAATCCAAGCAGCCAACGATATCAATCCCGTATACTTTTTAACAGGTTTTGTTCAAATGATAAAGCCACACATTTATTTGCATATAAGAGCAAATAATAAATGTAGCAGAGTTCGAACACTAAAGCTCGAAAGTTAATTTTTAAATTGCTATTTTAGACAGTACTTCAATACATTAACATGAATTATTGAAAAGATAAACAGGAGAGGAAAACGGATAAGATAAAATTAATTCACTAAATTGTTGTACGCCTAATGGCGAAACAACATTCACCATGCAGCGATGGATGGTTGTTTTGCTGAACACTAGTATAATCAATAAATAAAAGAGTTAATTGAAACACCGGAATGTGAAATTGTAATAATTTCACAAAAGATCCAATGTAATACCTCCTCCAGCTGATTATCAATAAATAATTAATTCATAAAATAATAATTCATCATCAATGACTTTTTCAATAATAAAAGTTAATCATCAGAAAACAACTACTTACTCAAAAGTTGAAATGAATGAATATAACAAAGTGTATTTGTGTGTTATAACATCCTTGGCCATACATGTATGAACATTAAATTTGCGCGCGTTTCTGAGAATAGCGCGTATTATTTGTCCTATATGTACGTGAGGATTGTATTAGGACGAGTAATTCGTTCGATTTGGTATTGACCAATGAGGTTGGAGTATGGAATGCTATGTACATGAATACATTGAGAATATATGGGAATCGTATTTATGTTGGGTGTATAGAAACCCCAGCCAAAAAACACAGAAGCATAGACGTACACCTCCTGCTTCCGTAAGGAGTTCAGGTTGGGTGGCGCGCTTGCTTTTTTTGTAGATAAATACGATTCACAATGAGAGGGAGAGATTGTGGGTTGTGGAGTGAATTTGTCAAAATTGTATGGAAACGTCTTTATCGCATCGAATGCAATTATAATAAATGCCTGTTCTGTCGTTCGATCGGCCGAGTAGCTACCTGCATATAATCATGGTTGTTGTTTGTTTTCACGTCCTCCTAGTAGAGGACACCTAAGAAAACCCACCAATTGAAGGGGAACACGCAATTGTCATCTTTTACGATAAACATCTCATGGGATACATCAGGTGTATTCGTGTTAAATGTTGAGACAATGTTTACACAAAAGGAGTGTGAGGTAATGAAAACCTACAAAATAACGACGGGTTAATAATTTACTGTGGATGGCAAAGCGTTTTCTAAGCGACATATGGAACCTGGAATAATGTCTCGTCATAACATCCCCTTCACTGAAAAAGATGAAAAGGTCTCAAAGTGAAAAATAAAATCATGACATTCGTAGGAACTTGAAAATTGTAGATTCCTATTTATATGTTTCATTGCCCCAGTTGCTTTCTCAAACTCATGTCACAGAATGAGTCCCATCAGGTAGGGCGTAATAATTGTGCATACTGCCTCATTGCATGATCGTAAGAGGCGACTAAATTTGGAATCTTATCTTTTCTCTTCTTTCTAAACAACTTTCTTCTTCCTAAAGTCTCCCTTGACAATGTCTCACGTTTGGCCTTTAGTTGATCGTTCGCCCGTGTGAGGAAGACTTTGATTTCTGTCCCCTGGCCGAGACATACCAGAATCTGTACAAATGGTAGGTTCTACTCCCGCTTAACGCCCAGCAATTTATGAGTTGGACGACTTATTCGCCCGTTGTCAGTATAATGTGACCTGGTGGGGTATCCTGCTGGGTGTCTTCGGCAGAATGTTTCAGTGAGATAGCACTATAAAGCCGGCATCAGTTCCGCGCTAACACAAGGAGACAAACAGGAACATATCGCAGCCTCCCAAAACACACACGCATACACTGCATGCATGTATATTGCACACAGGGTGGGGGTGGGGGGAGGGGGGAGGGATCATAGCTGTTGATATGACGTTAAACAATACTAAACCAAACCAAACCATCACACAACGATTTTTGCGAAGCTTTTCCCAAATCAAATTACATTCCTGTTAGATTTTAGTGAATACTCCCAATTCTGATAAATAGCGTTTCACTGTCATCAAATATGAGGTATCTATCAAAACTGTGTTCTTCAGATATTCAGTAGTTATATATATATATATAGCAAATGTAACTCTACCAGAAATATATTTTATTGCATGCTAAACATCGTAAAAGACGAAAGTGACTGTGATGTCCCTATGGTTTCGTCTGAAGTACCCTTCTCTTACAGTAAAGAGACATAGGAATACTACGGTACCTTATTCTTTATTCTTGCTATATTCGTGTTTCACAATCTCTGTGCGTCAGCCGTTTTTACGAGCTTCTGTCGTCATAAGACATATGTATTGTGATGTATATCTACACAAAAAAATGCACTTGAAATATTTATACTTAAGGATTCCCTGCTGCTTGATTAATAAAGATAAGGACTTGCTATGATTAACGATAATATACATTACGTTGGGACCCCATGACAGCTGAATTGATTTTGTTTAAATACTATCACGTGATGAAAACTCGTCCAGGTGAAATTGATGAAATTGATTTGTTTGTATAATTAGGAATATTGACAATATATTAACATAATCTCCACCACAAGTAGCGAATGCAATGTCTTATCACAGAGTGACACAGAGCTAATTGCACGCTGTGTGAGTTACTTTACTTAACGTAATACCTGCTGTACACGAAACTTTTAAGCAAGATAATCTTGGAGCAATCCATGGTAATGCCTATGAGGTATAAAGTGGTACAATACAGACGTCAACATACTTTAACGTTAGTGATCATGAAGATGTTATTTCATCCGAATTTTGCGGTCGTCTTTTTGTGTGCTTTTTCTTTGTGCAATTCGTCAGATGTGTCAATGTATTTCACCGCAAAGGTTCCTGCATCTGGGAATTTTGAAGGCTCCACGGGAAATGGACTTATGGAAACATTTGCGAATGTCGTAACGTATTCAGGCTGTGGAAGTATCTGTGTTTACAGGGGAACATGCATGTCCTTTATAGCCGATAACACGACAGCGCAGTGCCAAATATTTGATCGGATATTATGGAGACAAGAAACCCCAGCGCCACAGGCAGGAGCGGTGTACTTCCAGAAGGTCTTTTGTGAGTACAGATGCAGACTTTGTTGTTATTCTGGCTTTTTTTTTTTTTTTTTTTTTTTTTTTTTTTTTTTTTGGGTTTTTTTTTTTTTTTTTTTTTTTACTGTCTGTTTTTGAGGTGTGAATGTATTAGGTGCCGTTTCTTCTGTATTACAAAAAATACTCATTCAAACGTCTTTTTGACTGATGTTATCGTAGCAAACGTCGTATCAAATTGTCTGACCGGTCGTTGACGTATATATTCTGTTAAAATGTATTTTATTTCATTTCTATATGTTAGTCTGAGACGTTTGCCCGGTCGGGTTAAGTGTGTTGAAATTATATTAGGGTTTATGAAAAAGGACTGTCATTCTCTTTACCTACTCGTTTTAATAAATTGAAAAGTACCGTACAGGAGCACGCCATTTAATAATTAATAAAATGGGACTTAAACATATTTCTTTGGGTTGAGATCAACACAACACATGTAAACTGTCGAAAGGCAGTATTTGCATACAATGTACGGAACAGAGCTAAAATACATAATGGCAAGATTTCTATTGATCATACCAAAGATAAACACAGATAAATCAGCTTTTTAAAAAAGATATACCGTGATGCAAATCGAATTTAGAGAAGGTCCGTAAAGCACGGGGCCGTATTCGTGAAACCTTTCGCATGCTGAAACTCACATTCTGTGCTCAAGCCCAATTTTTGTTCCAGTAATAAATGTAAAATAATCATTTTGTCAAAGATTTCGAGGAATAGTTGTGTCTTAAAGCTAAACATCATTTGTGTGTCACATTATTTAAGCGAGTAACAGAGTTGGTTTAGCACAGAATCCATGTTTGAGCATGATAACGGTTTCGTGAATAGGGGCCGAGGTGTCGGTAATACAAGTTCAGTCTCACTTCAATGTATGACATTTCATACTTTTTCACGAAGCGTATGACATGTTTAGACGACGTTTACAAAAAAATAACATGAACACGAACATCAATTGTAGGATAGTTTATTGATCACATGACTGTTACTACATTATATTCGCCAGAACAAAACTGACCAATACAAAACGAACAAAACTTTGCATGTTGGTAATTCCACACCACCTAGTGATCAGCTTGATTGAATGTATAACTGACCACGATAACACCTCAGACCATTAGTGGTCATTGCAGAATCAGTTCATTTTGATGAGCGAAAATACCAAGCACATCTTAAATATACGAGGTACCACTAGCTGTCAAGATCTGTGAGAGTTAGTTAGAAACTTCCGAAAAAAATAGCCGCAACCAGCGTGAAACCACTAGTGGTTTTAACTGACCTATATATAATATATTTGGCAAATGTCGGCAAAAACTCGAACATCGCTTACAACGAAAGATCAAGTATCCAAATGTTGGAAACATCTACGGTGGCCAATTACAGGTCGACATAAACACTGATAGAACTGACATGTACCAAATCAACAAACGCAAGACACTTTTTTTCATGAAAATCCTTTCAGTCAAGATGAACTGACTTCAAAGTGACCAAAGCTACATGGTCATGGTCAAATTCCGGCTCCACAACTTCTCAAATCACATAATGGCCAATAGTAAACTGTTAGCAACTGACCAATCAAGCAATTCAACACCATCGAAATATATAAATAGGACCACAGCTGGTCAACACTAGCTAAGATCTAAACTGCTAATTCATGAGGTATCGATATAGTTCTTCATGGGACCACTAGTGACCAAGATCCACAGAGTTTCAATTCAATTCAACAAATATAAGGTACAATCTATGAAGCATTGGTCAAACACCATTCCAATCGGATCGGACCGTGACCCCCCAAAACGAGGCTGTGACGTCAATCATCACACATCTATTCCATCACCGACTGCCATCCACATTTTTCTCTCTAAACGTCGCAACGAATCTGCAATAAAATATATAAATAACAAGCTTAAGATTTCATGTAAACTTTATGCACAATCTATCCATTCCCCACTTTAGAATTTGTTGTCGTGATTTTAGTAGGGACATCAAGGAAAATTAATTATAAAAATGTTCATTAAATTAATTATTCAAAATCAAAACAATATTTTCCACTGTTTTATTATTACTATCTTGAGGAGGAAGGTACATAGCCAGAGAAGGGTAGCCTACCTAGTGAGGGAAGGGTATCTACACGAAGTGAGGGGCATTATACCAACCTGGCAAAGGACCTATTACCTAGAGAAGGATATAGTACCATCCCAACGAGGGATATAGTACCTAGAGAGGGAGAGTACCTACAGAGGAAAAGTATCTACCTATTAATGGACATTATACCTAGTGAGTGACAGTGCTCCTAGAGAGGAATATAGCACCATCCTAGCGAGGGACAAATAACCTAGTGAATGACAGTGTTATTAGCGAGGGATAAAGTACCAAACTAACAAGGAACAGAGTACATAGAGAGGGATATAGCACCATCCTAGCGAGGGACATAATAACTAGTTATTGACAGTGCTCCTAGAGAGGAAATAGCATGACCCTAGCGAGGGACATAGTACCTAGTGAATGACAGTGTTATTAGCGAGGGCTATAGTAGAGAGTACATAGAGAGGGATATAACACCATCAAGCGAGGGATATACACTACCTGTTGAAAGGCAGAGTGCATACCTAGACAGGGTACCAGTAGTTAATCTGACGCTGGATGCACACTGGGAACAATACCATATGCTCCTCCTCAAAATGCTGGACGAACTTCCTCTCCGAGTACAGATTATTCCACGGCAACTCTTTGGTGAGTACCACTGACAACTCTAGTCCAGTAAAACAACATCATGGCGTTGGATCTCTTCGCGAAATTTGCCTTGTCTTTCTTACGAGTACCGGAGGGCTTCCACAAGGATCTCCTTTTAACCTGACACGGGGCAGTACCACAGTGACGACAGAGGGGAAGACCTGTACAAACAAATATTTATAATAGGTCAAAGGTAGGGTCAACGCCTATGGATATTTAACATTAACTCCAAAAAGGTATGGGTATAGGAAGCTTAAAACATTTCCTTCTAGAGCATTTAAATGACACAATTACAATAAAATTATATCATCATCGTGTGCAACGTATTACAATTGTTATTTTGATACCGAGTATTATACTATTTCAAGAAAAAAAAAGTTCTTTTTATTGAAGATTAAAGCAGAAAAGTATGTGAAATTTCATTAATAATGAGAAAATTTCAAATTTTGACACGTTAATTTATATAGTTTTAAAACGATTCTATTTTTCATACTTGCTCAAAAGTTGGCTACCAATAATTTCTTTCAACATCAAAAATTCAAAAAAAATGACAACCGGTATTTGTCATATAACACTTTTGATTCAAAAAAGGTAAACATAGCTTTCTTTTCACTTTTCCTTAGCTTGTGTTTCTTCATAGCCAAGAAGGTCCTTGGATCTTGATATTTGGCAAGTAAGTTGTTAATGTGAATGAATTTAGGTTTTGTAAACGTTGATGACCTTTGACCTTCGTTCAAGGTCACAAAAAATTAAATGTGAGAAAGTATTATATTTCTACGGGGATTCATATCAGGATATCATTCCTTGCTTTATTTGTTTAGAGTAAACGACATAAAATAATGTAATATTCCTTCATATTTTGTTTAATGAAGGGACAATAGGCAAATAATAACTAGAACTGTAAACAAAAGGCTAATTAATGTCCCGCTCCTATATAAACAAGAACTGTAAGTTATTTGGCTAACTAAGGTAAAGCCCACCAATAATTATTAAAGTATATATGTCAATGACATACTTCCTGTACTCCCTCCCCATGTCAAAACATACTTGCATACAAATCTTACTAGCTCAGATGAACCAATTTTGCTGAAATCTTCCTAGTAGTTAAGAAAGAGTTGTCAAGACAAATATTTTTTAAAAACCGGCCATAACTCCTTAACAAAGGTCGAAATGAAAACATGCTACCCTGATGCACGACATCATGGGGTAATTACCATATCTGTAAACTTTCATTGAAATCAGCCCAGTAGTTCATGAGGCTGACAAAGTTTCTTTTAACAAAGGGCCATAACCCTTTTTTTAAGTATCATTATAAAAATATACTACTTAGATGCATAATGTCAGGGGGCAGTTACCATATCTGTAAACTTACGTTGAAATTAACCCCATAGTTTTGGAGAAATTGTCTGGACAATTATTTTTCAACAAAGGGCCATAACTTTGTAAAACAAAGAGTCATTTCTCCGTAACAAAAGGCCAGATTGAAAAAAATAATACCTGGATGCACAACATCAGGTGGTAGTAATCATATCGGAAAACTTTCGTTGAAATTGACTCCTTGGTTTTGGAGGAGTCGTCCGGACAAGGATTTTTCAACAAAGGGTCATAACTTTGTAAAACAAAGGGTCAGAATGAAAAAAAATAATTCTACGGACAGACTGACGGACCGAAAGGCTGATCCCAGTATATCCCCCAAAAATTTCGTGTGGGGAGGGGGAGTGTGGGGGGGNTATTTTATGGTTTTTATAAAGTTGCATATCTTTGTCTATAACACAATTTTAGCCTTAAGTAGTTCTCCAGAAAAAAAGATTACTTTGGCAGAATACATATTAATGAGTTCTAAATACAATAAAGTGTTTTGGTATGATACAAAAACAGAAAAATGTATCGGTAATTTACCATAATAAACATTGATAATAAAATCTCCATAATTAGGTGAAATTCGGCATGTTTGGCATGCTAAAAAAGTACTCTACCTGTCCTGATATTACATAAACATTATTATGTAAACAGAATATATATATAGGTGTTTTTTTTTTAAAGGAATCTTAAAATATAGACCACCATTGTAACTATAGGCAAGTTGATAATGTTGGTTATGTTATAAAGTGAACATTTTGCATGGGTTTTTTTCTGTCTAAAAATATCACTACGCTTACTTCATGGATACCAATACGACATATTTAGTATAAAAATAACAGTAATTGTATACACTGTACACGTCATAATGCATTTTAAAAATAATATTCGCCTGTGTCATTTATCCGTTATTTTATTAGGATACCCCCTCACTCAACGTTGTGTTATGCAAGGAGGTCCGTTACGGTTTCGGTTTACGGTAATTATGAATATTTATGTATCTACATATGGCAAAAGTATAAAAGAAATCAAAGCGGGGGCCAAATGTTGACTCCGCCTTTCCTAACTCAAAGGTTTAGGTCTTCGACACACAAAACATTACTTTCTATACATCCTTAGATTTTATTAGAAAGGAATCGGGGAATGACAGTTAGCTTTATGAAGGGTTCCAGACACGCAAAATCTGATCGATTATAAAGGCTTAAAGAAAGTAGTACCCGTACTTAAAAAAAAACCAATCTGAAATATTTAATCAAAATATTGCTCTGAGAACACAGGTATGCAAAATACTGAAATGGTTTCCAAGCTAGAAATCGTGTAGCACCTGCAAGGTAGCGAGTAAAGGTAATTTTTACAACACTTGGTTCATACAAAAGGGTACGTAAATTTTCGAAAATTACTTGATTACAGGGTAAACAGAATTTAGACTACTGCTTTATTCAATATTTTAACCTTCGCTGGTTACTTACGAGCTCTCCATTCTTGGAACATTGACACGGCGGCTGACCATTTCTCTTTGATGACTTTTCCGACCGACGGCGCATGGCCCAACAGCAGGGTAGGGAGCACACACAGCAGATTAAAGATTACCTTATATCCAATTCGCTAAAATAAATCAAATTATTATTATTTTCAGGGAATTGTACAATAATACAAACGTTTAATGTTCTAGTCCCGCATATTCCTAAGGTAACGACACCGGAGAAGAAAACAGTTTTTGCGCTTACTGAACGCAATTAAAGCATAGCCGCCGGCGGCTGATAAAAATTATGAAATACACACAGCTAAATCATACGAAACGAAATGCACACGCGTAAAACATAACAGATAAAATAACTGTGTGGGAAGAATCAGATAAGCATTATCACAAACATAATCTCACTTGATTATTAGTAAAAAAACACACAGTTAACGTTTCATAACAGTCATTAAGATTAAACAAATGTAATCCTTACCCATGTCAGATCGGTAACCGTTGGACAGACTTTCTCAATTTCACTTGCGGTGAAATAATAAAACAATCTTTTGGCATATCCTTGCTCGGGCTCCACGCTACAGAGTTAAAATTATACAAGTAAGAGCAAATATTTCTAAACATTAAATGGCAACACAATCGTTAACTAGAAAAGGTTATTGACATTAATTTGAGCTAGGCGAGATCTTTGCGTAATGTCAAGTCAAAGAATACATTTAACATATAAGATCCAATCTCACCATGGCTGGTCCAAACTTACCAAGTAAGGTCCCGATATACAGCAGGCCCTTGGTGCATGGCGCATATCATTACCACAAATATCAGGAATAGCCTGACATTCATTGTTGTAATCGAAGACTTAAACAAAAGAAGTAAATATCAGGGGAGAGACTGATCATCTCCGCTTTCGCCCATTGCTAAGCAGCTTAGCAACAAGTGTGTGACGTCACAAGTGGGTATCTCTATTTTGCCGATCATGACGTCACGTTATTGTCTTTTATCTAATAAGTGCAAGCGGTTACACGTTGGTTACAATTTGTATGGTACCAAAATGTCTTCTGTTATGAGTCGAACCCAGGACTAGCGGCAGTGAGTTATTCTAGGAGGAGTCGAACTCGGGACTAATAGCGACAGGACATATTTACTTTAGAATTCCAATAAAATTCGAACACATGGCAAGCGACACTTGGGCCCGTATTCATGAAACCGTTCTCTTCCTCAAGCCTGGATTATATGCTCAAACCAGTTTTCCTGTAACCCACCTAAATCATGAGATCAAAAAGTCAAATTAAACATTGGAAACAATATACGACCTTCATTTTTTTCCAAATCTTTGACTTTTTTTCCATTAATTTACAACTGGAACAAGAAATTAGGCTTGAGCACAAAATCCATGCTCAAATACATAAATTCATAAATACGGGCCCACTGTATATTTCTGGCAGAAATTGAAGACAACTAAAATAGAGTACGTGTACTTCTGCGATGTAGCCGGGATCAAATATGTGTTTCCTTAAATACTGTTCTATTAGGAGTTGAAATCTGGACTAACGACACAGGTCTTTTGTCTTTACACACAACAAGGCCTGATAATATTTTCTAGGAAGCATATAAATCCTTACTTTGACTATTTCTTCAATATGATTGTGTCATGTATGGGACGTTATGTGTCAGACAGACAGACGGACGGACGGAGGAACAGAGAGAGGTACAAAAATGTAACATTATATGTTCAGCACTGACGAGTGATTAACAATCCAAACGGCTTCTTTTAAAGATCCATTAGATTTGATGATATTTGGCGCTTACGGAGATGGATAAAAAATACTCAAGTTTGTTAAACAGCCCGCTTTGGTGTAAAACAAGTTGAAAATTAAGATCGATGCCTTCTTAACTTTTGTTTGGTTTTGTTGGATTTAGCGTGGAAGTAAAAGCTAAAACCATTTAGCCGTGCTTCAATACGTGTAATGCATGCCTGTGTAAGTGTATGTATGCTGAAGAGTGGTTTGTTGGTGTAATTGCCTCCTCGTGATAGCGCTGATCGCATTCCGTCTTCAGTGAGGTATTGCCAAGCAAAGCGATACAGATTAATATGGTTGTTTGGAAGTACAGAGGAAATTTAAAGATTGCAAACATTGCAGTTGACGCAGAAGATATAAATTGGTCATTTTTGTGTTCCCATGTAGGAGGCGCAAAGGCAAAGTGGTTAACAACAGTTATATATTTCCTCAATCTCCTAATTGCATGAGTGGACATCTTTTTAAATTATACATGGCCAAGAGTAATGATAATTGGCTTGTACAATTCTAATATTTGCCGTTGACACATTTTACAAGTCCTAGGCTTACAAGTGTTAAGCTATGTTAATGACTTCTGATGAAGATCCATGAGGTCTGCATGAATAATATTTGGTCTAGAGCACGCTGATTATGTTTTTCTTGGAGAGTTACTTTCATAAATTTTCCCACGTAGAAAGGGTTATGTGAAAAAATTACAATCTTCTAAATGTCCTCACAGCCTAGAGTGGTTATATTTGGCATGTAGCTTGTCAAGTTTGTCAATTAAATCGACTGTGCCACTTTGAAGGCTGCATGAGAAAATAAATTAATATGCTCCTTTAAGATCAATAATGTGTCAGGTAATGATGTTGAACTTTTACTGTACTGCACTGTGAAGATTGCCGCAGGAAGTTTGACCTTGGCTGACTATAAACGTCACATATGTTGATACGTGTCTGTCAACCAAAATTAATAACAGGCGAGTGATACAGAGCCTTGTGCCTCTTGTTCTCGTCATAAACAAAACGTTCAGATTTTTGTACGAAGTAAAGCAACAAATTAATTCGTTCTGTACACTACACTGCACTTTACTACCGAAACTGCCGCCAACGATTTAAGGTTGCTTTAAGGACACACTTGGGGAGATCGGATGAACATCAAAGTTATGTATATCAATGACTTAATTCCCGTATGAATGACGAGTATCAAAGCATCTAGTTCAATTAAAAGGACGTATGATATTCATTCAATGTTTGGGTAATTACTGCGCATGTATTTGACCATATTAATAGGGAAAACAGCTGAAGGATATTACCTGGATCCGGATTTGGTGAATATAAAATAATTCCGAACCTCTTCGGCATTTTATGATAATAAATAATAACACTTATCGATCCTATCGTGAAAAGAGTATGGCCCGACACGTTTGTTACCAGTATTATACTTTGACCTCGTCCTCTATCCTGACAGGGGGGTAGACTGGAGCCATGCTCTTCTTTACTTTTTATTTGGAATTGGAAATTACGTAAGCAAAACGACAACGTGATCCGACTTCTATTTTATCGTTTGTTTATTTGGAATTTGATATCTTAGGAACCGCTAAGGTCGTGAGAGATGATTGAGCACGGTGACGCTTAAGATCAATTTTAAAGCACCAACGCACTAAGATATCATTATCAGACATGAAAACGGTAAAATGGCGTTATTAGGGCTTACAGAATTCCGACAACGTGAATACCAGATGTGCATTGATAGACAACACAGACAAGAGAAACCAGTCACGAGAGGCAATACAGTTTAACGTTTTGACTGGACCGCATTGTTGTTATCCATTGATCAAATCGACACATTAAAACAGGAATGGGTTTCGGACATTTTATCACCACTTCACGCTATAGAATATAGTATCGTAACGTCATCATGTCCGGCATTGATGAAGGTTTAAATTGAAGGGGAGCAAACTGAGCATTGATATACGAAATAATGCTGATAAGTGTTTTGCAACCAATATCAAATACATATAATGTAGGCATATGAAAAAAACGAAATTATATATGCTGTTTATGTCATACAATGCATTAACGGATATTGTTCACGCGGGCCAGAACCCTCGTGAAATATATTCATACCCGTAATGCACTCGTGCAATCCGAGATGTTAGATGTACGTGAGGCATTACGTATACATATGTATGCTTTTTACTGGTATTGTTTTCTTTTATCGCGGGCCACGGTGGCCAAGTGATTAAGGCGTCTGACATTCTACAACCACTAGCTGGGCCCCAACCACTGGAATACGGGTTCGAGACCTACGTTGGGCAGTCGCCAGATACAGGCCGTAGGTCGGTGGTTATTCCCCGGGAACTCCGGCTTTCCTCCACCACCAACATATGTCTTTTATCGATGCATTAGTATGTATATGTATGTGGCTAAAACCGACAGGATTTGATTTCTTTAACACTAATGCGCAAATAAATATATTTTTTATATCACCAATATTGCTTATTACTAAAATAACGATATGCTAACAAAATTGCCGTTGTTTTTTCCAGTTACGTGTCCCAGTAACTACATATACTACCTTGGCTATTGTATCAAGGAGTACACCACCCTGGTAACATGGATGATGGCACACGAACAGTGTCAGAAGGATGGAGGGCTGCTCTTCCACTTCTCCACAGTCGATCGACATAACTATTACAAAACGATAATGAGTAAGTATATAGACGGCATATAACATCAACATCTGAGGTAGTCCATGTATACGGATTTCTTGTATTTTCGTATATTGTCTGTATTGTGATTGGCTCAAGCACTGTCACATGGTAGTTTAGAAACAACCGTATTGGTCTAAGTTACATTCATACGACATTTTAGATATAAACTTAGTGCTTATATTGTTTTCGTTTCGACGTACGGCTTATGCAATATCCTTTAAATTCTCACTTTAAGTTTATTTCAGTAAATTATATTTATTTTGATTTTAAGTTCTGCATTCATGAGCACAAGTGTCAAAATTTTCTTCAATGACAGTAACACTTTTTACATCAATGGCCTCTCCTACTTTATATAATTCCGAAAACCAACAAACCGATATTGTTCGTGTACGCTCAGGATCATTATTCGTGTAGTACATGCAGGGTGCAAGCTCGGCAACATCGGTATGTTGAGCAATCGAACCAAACTGCGTGGTCTTTCCGCAAGTAGATCGTGTATAGACAATCAAAACAATCTACTAACCCCTCCGCACCTCTTCCTCCTCCTCCTCCTCCTCCTCCTCCTCCTCCTCCCTCTCCCCTCCCCCTCCCCCTCCACAACTCAAAATCGAATCGTTTGCAAAGGGTATTAAGATTGGAAATTAATCAACTTTTAATCTCTATTTTTGTTTGTGCCTTTTAGACACGAACAACGTATACCACATCGGAGGGTTCAAACAGGGCGGGAACTGGATCTGGACCACTGGAGATCTCCTGTCCGGAGGTTTTAGCAACATGGTATCGACCGTCAGTCCGGGCCTCTGTCTCACCGTGGACGCCACCGGATCATGGCAATGGGACGCTATTGACTGTAACGTGGACTTACACAAATATCTCTGTGAGATCAGCGTGTTCACTCCGTGACCTCGGGACAAATTCTTTAATAATGTCATTTGTAATATTTAAGGATCCCCAAAGCACTGCCAAATACTTTAACTAAGTATTGTAGATTATTTTCCCCGATATTACTATAGATTTGATTAATCATTTCTGAAGAGAACACAATACATTTCGGTTTGGTTTTATAGGGTATTTAAAGACGTGCCTCCATTTGTGTTATGTATGTGTGCATCTGCGTATGTGTGCTGGAGGCAGGCTATGTCGGTGTATTTGCCTCCCTGCCATAGCACGGATCTGATGCCGACTTTATAGTGCTAGCTCACTGAAATACCACACCGAAGGCACCCAGCACGGCGTTCCACCCGGCCACATTTTATTAACAACGAGTAAACCAGGTGTTGCCATTACATAAATGCTTAACGTTAAGCAGGGAATAACACCTACCATTTTAAGGCCTTTGGTATGTCCCGGCATTAGGAGAGAACCCATTCCTTCCTCGCCTATTCAAATGTTCAATATTAAAGCCAAAAAGTGATGGATTGCCAAACGAAGCGCTAGGAATTAAGGGAAGCTAGAAGTAGAGAGAAATGTAAAGGTCCAAATTATTACAATATGTGTAGCTGAAATTCTGTTCGTCGCTTTCGTTTCCCAAAGTAGAGAGTACAAACGCATATCTCCAATTCTGTGGGGGTTTCCACATTGGTCCCATTTTACGATCATGATGTTGGTGAAAACAGATGTATTCTTTTCTCAATCCTGCATGATCTTACTGGATTTTTATTAGAACTAATAAAGGTTAAATAAACAAAATATAATCAATAACATTTTTTTTATAGTGTAGACAGTCAGCGGGGCTAGACCGGGGTTCGAACACTGGACTGTCATCCTATCGCTCTCACCGATTGAGCTACTTGTTCAAAGGAACTGTTCTGGTCGAACTGTGCTAAAGTTATATACAAGCGGAAGTTGAGGGGAAATAACTGTACATAGGAAAACACAGAACAGTGGGACAGGGGTCCTTAATACAGTCTTCATTTTCTTTGAAGTCAATGCATGTATTTTGTAAGAGTCATTGTAATTATTGTATTAGACTACAAAACATACTTGTTTATGATATTTACTTTTATAGTTTACTACATCATCTCTTCGATTTGTGGTAATTACTATTGTATTATACTATATAATCTCTTTGATTTGTGGTAATGAGTATTCTATTATACTATACAATCTCTTTGATTTGTGGTACAGACTTTTATATTATACTGCATAATCTCTTTGATTTGTGGTAATTAGTATTCAATTATACTATATAATCTCTTTGATTTGTGGTAATTACTATTCTATTATGCTATATAATCTCTTTGATTTGTGGTAATGACTATTATATTATACTATATAATCTCTTTGATTTGTGGTAATGAGTATTATATTATACTATATAATCTCATTGATTTGTGGTAATGAGTATTCTATTATACTATATAATCTCTTTGATTTGTGGTAATGAGTATTATATTATGCTATATAATCTCTTTGATTTGTGGTAATGAGTATTATATTATACTATATAATCTCTTTGATTTGTGGTAATGAGTATTCTATTATACTATATAATCTCTTTGATTTGTGGTAATGAGTATTATATTATACTATATAATCTCTTTGATTTGTGGTAATGAGTATTATATTATACTGCATAATCTCTTTGATTTGTGGTAATTACTATTCTATTATACTATATAATCTCTTTGATTTGTGGTAATGAGTATTCTATTATACTATATAATCTCTTTGATTTGTGGTAATGAGTATTCTATTATACTATATAATCTCTTTGATTTGTGGTAATGAGTATTATATTATACTGCATAATCTCTTTGATTTGTGGTAATTACTATTCTATTATACTATATAATCTCTTTGATTTGTGGTAATGAGTATTCTATTATACTATATAATCTCTTTGATTTGTGGTAATGAGTAATATATTATACTGCATAATCTCTTTGATTTGTGGTAATTACTATTCTATTATACTATATAATCTCTTTGATTTGTGGTAATGAGTCTTATATTATACTTCATAATCTCCTCTATTTGTGGTAATGATAATTATATTATACTATATAATCTCTTTAATTTGTGGTATTGACTATCATATTATACTATATAATCTCTTTAATTTGTGTTAATGACTATTATAGTATACTATATGATCTCTTTAATTTGTGGTAATGACTATCATATTATACTACAAAATCCTCTCGATGTGTGATAATGACTTAATTAGGCCCGAGGTCTGACACGTGATGTGTCGGGTCAGAGGTTGATAAGGAATGTAATATCAAATTTGTTACATTATAACCTTTTCATCATATTTCATTGCCACTGTATTTGTTTAATATATACTGTAGCATAAAATGAAAGACAAAAAAAAATGTGGTTTTAGAAATGTGTCATGCTAAACAAACTTAACTTGCTCGGGCAATTAGCATCTATAAAGTTTAGCCTAAATAGAAGTTTATGGACCCAGAATACTTCTGCAATTTGCCGTGCTTATATCTTTTCATAATCTGTATAAGGACTGTTATACATGTATCTAGAATGATTGTACTGTTGAAACATGAAATGTCACTTTTCATTAAAAAAACAATTGAATGCACTTCTGATTAAAAAATGTGCTTGAGTAACCCTTTTTTTATTTCATCAAAATTTAAAAGTAACTACAGAAAAGTTCAACTCCCTTAGCATCCTAAAGTTGTTTTGAAAGGGTTGGAAACACTATAAGCATAAAAATTAGTGCAAGTCCACAACATCGTTTTCCCCCATTTCACGGTTATAGTCAGCGATCATACAATGTACATATTTCAATACATTTTACATTGTATAATGCGACAAAAAGTCGCTCCATTGAGGTTTAAAGGGAGATGACCGCAATAGTTTACTAGAATTTAAATGAAATGATAACTATATTAGAAAAAATAAAATTAGCCAATAGTTGCAAGCGTGTATACTATAACAGGGGACACAACTCGCATACAATATAGAAGACGGTGGTACAATGTGAAATGATGTGAAACTGTGGCGTTAATAAATGTATCTTTATATTGAAGTACGCGTATTACTTTTCTGTCCTGTGTGGAGAACTTTCGACATATTTATGTACATGTAAACATTTCTAAATGTTAAATGTTATTTCCTTTGTGTCCTATATCAAAGGACGAAACGATTGTTAGCAATGATTTGACGTATACAACACATCACATCTGTACAACAGTGTCACAAGTGGAAAGTTGAAACTTCAAATTGACGCGGAAAGATAACATAACAGAAAATGAGGAGAAAGCAATTGACCCCAAAAATGCCGAAAACCACGAAAAGATATCGTGTATCTTTACAAAAAGTGAAAGCTACCTCGGGGCAGGGACGTATAGTGAAGATATACTGTCCCTGCTCGGGGTAAGCTATTCCTGGACCACAAGAGGCCCTCGTCTGACACTTAGAGCCTCAATATATCACTGCTGGCTAGATCACATAGTAAATATAGGTTATTGCTGATTTTTTTCTTTATTATCATGTAACATATACTCACCATAATCTCATATCTCAATTATTGCTTTTATTCTTGTTTAACAAAAAGTCTGATGTAAGTCTTAATTATTCTGCAAAAGAGACCCTTTAAAAGTGTTCTATCTTCTCAACTCTTCAAAGATGCATGATGAAGGCATGGCTTGATCAAAAGAACCTGCGCATATCTTAACCATCTGCCTTAAAAAAGAAAGATGATCACTGATACAGCAAAACGACATCTTTCTTACTGAATTGGAATATAAGGTACCAATTTCACTATTGCCCATACTGCAGTATTTACATTGTTCGATACCAACTGACACTATCGCAGAACAATAGTTACTTTTGTTAAGAGTATGAAGGCCACGTCGCTTATAAAGCTGCATCATGGTATAGGGCATGCTCATGTTTCAAACACTCATGCTAATTATAAAAAACAAAAACACCGAGAGTTACTGCCCTTAGCCTGCGCTTAGTCGCGTTATGCATGGAATGTGTTTGGTACAGTCACGCTTATTATCATGAAACGTCCACACGGTTATTAAAATAATACAAAACCCCATCGTTTGTGATAATCATCGTGACAATTTGACATTGCCATTTACATTTTTGTAAGAAAAACAACATGTCTTGTCGCAATAACTGTCTGTGTAAGTGGTGTGTTAACTGTAATGCGACCTAAATCTGAATTATAGAAAAAATTGACGCTTGCTAATAATAAATGCCATATCCTACAGTGTATATATTGCCAATTTTCCACGTTGTAAATATATTTAATCGCATACATAATGCCTATCCTCAATTTTACAAAGATATTTGAATAGAAAATTATAATTACATACACACTGTTCATAGTTGTGTATGTCCTGTACAGGATAATACTTCCATGTAAATGTACATAATGTCAGTCTAGAATGTTTTTTCACAAATCCTGTATAGTGTCATATCCATATTATTCGATAGGATTATAATCTATGTCATTGTTATCATTGTAAACATGTTGTAATTGTATGCCTATGAGCCGTAGGGCGTAAAGCTACATGAGCAGAGATATACACAGCAGTTTGAAGAAAGCGATCCCAGTATATGCGGCAATATCAAAGTCAGAAGTCAATATTAAATATAAATTTTGCAAAGCATCTGTCCGAACTTTTCACCTCTATAACTAAAGAATATAAATATCTTGATAACCTGATAAAAACAGCAGGTAAATGTACACCGTCTGTGAAGGAACTGTCCAACATGTCCTGATTTTCTACATGTTCATGTCTATGCATATGTTTTTCACTGTGTTTCGTCTATTTTGCATTCAAACTACTTTGTAGTTACAAATGAGCAAATAAAATTTTGAATTTGAATTTGAATTTGTATCATTATTTCATTTCGGTATAATACAAATGTTTATTTTGTTTTTCGTATGACAACATGATTCTGTGCCTTCCCTTTAATTCCCTGATTATTCAGGTTTCCTACCTACCACAAAGATGATAAATATATAGTGTCAATTGGGAAAACAGGGAGTAGGTTGGGTGGGGTGGTATTTGAAGTAACACTACCTACATGTATATAGTAAGTGGATATTACGAGAACTCCGACTACTATAGGACAACATGCCCGGAAGGTCAGTTCGTATTAATAATGTTTACCTGTAAGTCTGTTAACAACCGAACAAACAACCACTCTAGACCGTTATCAGCAAAGGATTGTAGAGGACATTTTTGACAATCAGCCAGCGACTATACAATATCCTAAATCGAAAAGGTCATTGCATATGTAACGCATTCTTCTTGTTTTTATCTTAAGAGGTACGGTCTAGCAGTCTTATTATATCAATCTTGTGTGAAGTCAAATCACTTCTAAACGCATAAATACACTAATAATTCATTTGACAAAGAACTGGTATTCTCAGGGAGTAGGTTGGGTGTGGTGGCATTTGAAATAATTGTACTATGTTCATGAAGACAGTCAATGGATGTTGCAATGTACGAGTACTCCGACGACTAAGGACCACAGGGACCTGCGGATTTGTTACAGCTATATTTGGACCCAAACTAAGGTGTTCAGAGTAATTTTACTTATATTAGGGGTTTAGATCGACTTTCGGTGAAAATGACACCCCAATGATATGATCATTGTGGGTTGCATTGTTATATAATCGGACCCCCAATAATAAGAATTAGGAAGGATGTTGATCTATCGTTTTCATATATTTCGGTAAAATTGGTTCATTATAATTTATGTTTAACTTCTAAAAATTGTTTAGATAGATAACATGGTGGCCATATTTGATTTCAAATCGTCCCCCCAAATAACAATTATAATTGGTAAGAACCACAGCACCAAGGTACATGTTTGTAGCTACCGAGTGTGAATAGCCACTGCCAGTCGGCGTGGCTATCGCCATATGAAAACTTTCCGGGGTCCGCCATCTATCCCGAGTTTCAATTTACCGAGTTAAAGAATCTATACGTGTGTTAATTACTAAATTTCGTTGTTCGTTCTTTTTAATTATAGTTTATATATTTCTTTGTTACCAATACGTTTGCGAGTAGGATATGTTTGATCTATAGTTTTGAACAATGTTGACTATTTAGGTTAACCGTCTCCCGTAAAGCAGGTCTAGTCTGGTCAGGACCTTGTATATTGTTCCCCGGTACTAATCCTGCCTGTTCTGGCCTTATATAGAGTACACGTATAAATTCTACACAATATCGTCCTTTCTAGACTGAGCAGGGGGCGTTTTTTGGTACCGTCTTTTATGTAATTTACATAATATTACATAATGCTAAATTTGCTTATCGATTCCGCTACACGGTCTATTTTAGTTTATCAGTGGTTTATCAGTACTTCACAAGAATAGCTATCTTGTATTTTTTCCTGGGTTCATTGTCCTTACCACAGTTAACTGGCCACATGACGGCAGATACGAAGGGAAACACAATGGAAAAGACAGAATGGACAGGACGAATATAAAGAAAGAAGCTGGACCGGTTGCATTGATGACACCTTCGGATTTTTGGGTGTCTTTTTATGGATGACAGAATGAAATCACAGAGTCTGCAAAGTTACTATTCCGTCTTTGCGTATTGCAGAGTTATCTTCTCTTGGGAGGAGGTATTGATTGTTACGTCATTGGTTTGTGTGAGAAAATTACGTCGTTTTCTCAAAAATTGATGACGTTACTCTCACAAACACACAAACAAGTGACGTAACAATCAATACCCGCTCACAAGAGAAGATAACTCTGCAATATGCAAAGTTCCTATAGAAAGTTTCTGTATGTTCAACACATGTATGCATCATGTACTGGTTGTACGCTATGCATAAAAAAAGAGGACGGTAGCCAGCATTACAGTGTAACACCCCATATTTTAGTGGTGTTTAAAGCATACATGAGTACAAGTAATAAGAATGTATTTGTTTTTATTCACTTTGTATGTATATGTTTGCTATAGACGGTTGAAATGCATGTACCTCTCTAGAAGTAATTATGCTGTATTTTTGATATTTATAAACTCTAAATAATGAAATTAAATCAAATATGCAGTTTATCGGATACCGTCGTCCGGATAAGAAAATGTAATATTGGGGCAGTCGATCATTTATAAACCGTTAAAAAGTTCTCTATGAACCCCNCCCCGATTCTGCAAGAAGGGCGGGGGAGCTGGGGTCATATCATATATGTAATGATAGATTTCTAGCTCAGGATTTCTTATTCTCTACACCAGACTCAGTAAGAATAAAAACGTCGCATATATGTAGGTCATGTCTCCCCTTACGAGTTGTGCAATCACCTGTAAATTAAAGCTGACATTCTACAGTGTCATTTTAAAACCAGTTTCAATATATAGTTAGTTTCGTAATGTTACATCTGAACTTAATCAGATACACATACATATATGTGTGGCCTTTGTTCCACCGATCCCTCCCGGCCACCGTACACAAAGGTATACATATATATATAAACCTAGTCATGCAAATTAAACGAAGATAGAATTCCAGATAAATTGCACTTTCTGCTAAATGTTTTTACAGTGTACACGTACTCGGCAATATAATAGTAGTTTGCGAGCTAGTTAACGCTTGACTTCCCGCTCACAAGGCGTCATACACATTCGCTTACCTGTGCACACCTGTTCAGAAAACGAGACGGGAGTGTATAGGTATAGTGTGTGTGTGTACCTAGGAAATTTGCACGTGTGTGTTACCAATCGTGGCTCTCATATATAAACGACTAGGCGATATATAGGGCGAGTCAGATAATAGATACAGGTGCCTTCACACCACGGGACAGTACTGTTGTACACCACAGTGGGGGATACCTGGCTGATAGTCTATAAGGGAGGTTACACCTGACTGATAGCAGTCTAAACGGACAAACACGTGGCCTGACAGGATGGACTAACACACATGGACACACCTTAGAATCGAACAGGTAAGGAACTAATTAAAAATATAATTACAGGGTACAGTATGTATGAGCACCACACCTGGTTGGAATTGGGAGCTACCAACATATAGCATCCCTGGATCGAACGTGGGCACGTGCACGTCTCCACCCTACACGGGGTGTAGCTCTGTGTGCGTATACGGGGAGACGTATAGTGAACTTTCATTGAATACTTTGTATTCTTATATGTGCTATCCCGTCATTATAAACACATATAGTGTATTTTATATATGATTTACAGCACAATGCCATTACGTAATAAGAAAAAACAACATCGGATCTCAGGAACACGGTACATGTGCCAAAGTTGTGTGTAGTATAATATAGGGACGTATACATTGTGTTTCGGAGGTTTCAGCGGTGTATAGAGGTAGGCCACTACTAAATACTATTGCCCCACCCTAGTAAGATTGTACTTTTCATACAACATATTTAAGATGTTTACATGTGATGGTTTATTATCTCGTGATAATGATAATTCACACAAGCGTGACACTTTTCCCCGGCCCGGCATTGACATTCGACTGTCTTATCATATAGAGAGGCACATGTACAAGACATAGACTAACCTCACCCCCGACCCCCACCCACCCCCCGTACATATGCTTATATAGTGACAGTCACTATGGGCAAGGTACAAACTATCCTCCCCCGACCCGTATACATTAAAAGGATATTGGGTTGGGGGTTAGTCTATATCTTGCCCCTGTGTTATATAGGGTTATATGTATCGACTGGGTGTACTTGACTGGTCACGTATATACGAGTCTAGAGTACGAATCGTACATGTACTTAGTCGATAAAAGTGATTTTTCTTGTGGAATTGTTTTTTCTCTCCCTTACATTGTTGGGCTTTTAATTATTATAACGTAACCTAAACTCGATATAATATCATGTCGGAAAAAAGTCTTCACGTTACGGAGTTATCGCCTTAATTGTTACACGTTGTAGGTTCCACTGCCTGATCGTTTGAGGCGACCTATGTGAGAGCCTCAGCCGATTCGGGTCTTGTCGTCAGTCCAAAATATAAAAGATGTGCTACACTCATTTGTTTCCTCGTTTATCTAGCCTTTGCTATCGGCGAGGTCTCCCCTCAGACACTTAGGTTAGTTCGTTGTCAAAATAACGTGATCAGGTGAAGTGTAAGGTTCCCTGGTCCAAGTGGTATCGCTTAAAATGACTCTTTATCAAGAGTCCTGCCCCACAGCCATTGTAAACCATCGTTATCAAACACAAAACCCTAAGTACTACCCTCATAACTGATCTGTAGGGAACCGGTGTGTTACAGTGTACAATTGAAACGAAACATGACCCCATAATTAATTGGCACGGTCGCATTTAATGACGTTATAACAAACCCCCTTCTCCTAATATAGGCGGCTGTTGGTATAGACGTACGTATCATTTGCGAAGGAAATAAAATTTATGGATGGATGTTTATGTCTTGACCAAATTGTATGGCCTAAATACGATGCGTTAGTTGCCTATATTTTTGTGTATAAGGGATGTTGAAACATTTATAATTACAAATGTATAATTCCAAGAGAAATATGAACTCCCCACGCGCCCGGATAGTGTCAAATTGTCGTTATCCTCAGTCTGAAGGACGTATAGTGACATGATGCAATTACATTGTGTATAACGTATGGACTTTGGGAGCAGACACATCGGTCGTCGACGGTAAATATTTCCGGTAGTATTTTATAAATGTGCATCATCATACCCTCGTGTCTGCTGACTGTATAATAATGGAGGACGCCACTATAAAGTGTTACACGATATAGATCGGAGTGCCTTCTCGCTAACGACGGTATATATATATATCCTCCTACTAATGACGGGCGCGCGGTGATGGATTTGTACAGTGTACCTCTGGTTGTGCAACCAGACTGCTACGTGTATGACGAGAATTATTGATAAGGAAGTGTCAACGACCTAGGAAATGCACACTGGTAATTGTAATGTAAATTATAGTAATTATACATTATTATACGTATATTTATTTTAATTTCATTTGATATCTTTTTTTATGTGACATAGACTGCTTAAATTGTGATAATTCGAAGTAATTGAAATGGTAATTAGTAAGTTCTGAAACGTTTCTGATTGGATTATTTGTATGACGGTATATTTGTAAACACTGTGACAATTCCTAGTAAATGTTACAGTCTGTACATATATAAGGAAGTAATTATTCTTTATGGATAATAAAAGTATAATGTGACCACTTGCTAGGTCGCTTGTTCTGGTAGGAATCGAACCCATGGCAACATATATAACAATATTTCAGTCTAGTGCTCCTCCTATTGGACAAAAAGGCAAATAACTCTAGCCAAGTCGGTAACATTCGTCTAGAAGGCACATTTATTTCGTGCAGTCATGCATGTATTCCTGGGATTTCAGGTGTGCGTCACGCTTCCACACCGTGATAACATGCATACTTGAATATTCAAATTAGTTTTACATTTGAAGCTTGATGAGCTATGCAGAATATAATATACGCCCATAACGTTATGCCTGGTACATTATTTATACATGAAAATTATCTGAATATTTTATGGTGAAGCGCAGGTACAATGTCTTCGTATCAAAGCTCAACGGGCCGGGCACAGGCATACTTTAGGGTTGGGTTTTGGTACAAGTTGTTGTACGTTTTGCTTACAGGGAATGCTGGGGTTGGATTTGGAGAGTTAAGGAGCCCAAGGAAGTTGTACCTAACTATGAATTAACGTGCCTAGCTAACCTATTATATACTACATACCTATTACACACTTTAACAAGCCCCCCACCCCTGAACATCGGTAGCTTTTACGCAATGTTGTCATTACCTTCTTGTTAATGGCTTATACAACCCCGGGGCGTAGGGTTAAACAGGCCAACTATTGTGTTTTAATACGAAACAAAATCCACCTCCAGACGACCTTTCTTTTAATAGGACTTGCCTGCCTTGACACGTACCAAATTGAACTGATAAGTAAACAGAAGGAAGTTGTTTGATACTAAATATATAATCATAACGCTTCTGTTTAATAAGTGGGTATAATATATACGCAGTGATTTTTAACATTAGTTCAATGCCGAAAGTAAGACAAACGCGCATATAAACCACCTATATGGAACTTAATGGGATACCTTAGAGGAAGGAAATTGACACATACACACAACTGTACTTAAAACAGTTCATGAAATATATATGTGGGTTGGTTTATAGTGCTAAGCGTCCTATTAACAGCTAATGTCATTTAAGAAAGTGCCTCCGTGTAAGGATTAAAAGACAATTTTCAAATGTAGGAACACATTTTCCGACTCAATATCAGCCACCAATTATTTTATTTTTAAATTGACGGCAGCTCTATATGATATAAAGTCGGGAAATCTATAGGGTGCTGTTTTGTCGGTACATTGAACTTGCAATACATGTATATGTATAAAGTGTACTGAATGAGGTACACATATATGTATAAAGTATACTGAATGTTTTCGTAGGCGGTTTAATTTGCTCCTCACCTGTGAAGTAATTGTCATGGTTGTAATCCCATTTGTTTAAAACGCTCTGTGGTAAAAATGTAAACACAATTTCCATTATTGAATACGCGATCTGACACAGCTGGTGGGCTGTCTGAACTTGTAAAATGTAAAGCAAGGTTAACTAATTGGGAAAGGTAATAGTCGAGGAATGTCTCCAGCAATGTCAACTTAATGCGAAATTGGCAAAGTCAACTAACACGTTGTAACCCAATGGGAAATGTTAAAGTTGAGGAAAAGCTGAAGTATTGTTCACTACACTAGCACTGTCAAAGTCGTGGAAAGCCTCGGGTATTGTCAACTCAATTTGAAATGTCGAAGTGTAGGTAAAATATTGAAGACTTGAGCTCTTTAAATGTGGTGCTAAAATATATTTCATTATGGATCGAAAGACGAATCTAAAAGTGCCGAACACGACCGCCTGACTAAACAGAAGGACAATGGCATGAATTGACGATAGCCAAAATAATGACGTGGGTCATTTTTGACAATTCAGAATATTTTCGAATCAATGCCGCGAACGAGTTGGTATGACCGAGCTTTCGGGAGAGGGACACATCTTTTATAACGTGTTAATGTTAACTGTTATTAATTTAGAAAATAAAAGCCGGGCGTGTACAGCGATCTGATAGACTACACTAGTACAGTGCCATTGACGCGTTCTTGGCTGACGTTACCTGTAATGCGTTATCTTGAAGGTACATGTGAACTTTCACAGGTATATTTTATCTCTTAATTTTGTGATAAGCCCACGCAATCGTCGTAAAACTTTCGGATAAAATGTCGTGGCGGTATTTTAGTGTTCGTCTGCTGTTGTTTTAGTTTTTATTCAAAGTTTTGTTCATACACTGTAAAATTTCATACTATATACTTTTTTTTTCTATCCATATAGTCGATCACACCAGTGCAATGTACGTCTTAATATATTAAAATCCATTCATTACAAGCTAATTGTTATAGATTTGTGCCTCTTGTCGTTTATGTATTACAAAATGTATCAGGTTTTCAAGAAACCGAAGCTGCTGTTTTCGCATTACGTCTAATTTTCGAGCTGGCATCTGTCAAAACATACTAACAACCACCCATCACAGTTCTATTAATGATATTGAATTCAAGTATCAACCTCACATTATCTGTTTGTATTACATGGTGTACTACTGTGTTATCTAGTGAATATACCAATGTCATATATTATTTTTGGCGTATAAACCCATGTAATATGACCTATCTATCAGCCTTGCGATTGGTTGTAAGTTTCAATTGTTTCATTTGTGACGTCACGCCTAGGACAAGTACATGACGTCACAGACTTACGCACTGGAGTCAAAATGGCGGCTTTTTACATTTCAGGGTTGCATGACAATTGTCGTTTTACACGAATAACTGCAACAAATCTTGATAATGTGATAAAAAAGCATCTTACACTCGATATCATTTCATATGAAATTGATGAAATTCGTCACGAAATATTCATTTAAGCTCGCTAAATTGAAAATTCTTAGGTCGTTTTATAAATCTAATAATTAATATGAAACGGTAACTCATGTAAGATCCTATTCCGTCTTTGCGTATTGCAGAGTTATCTTCTCTTGGGAGCAGGTATTGATTGTTACGTCACTTGTTTGTGAGAGTAACGTCATCATTTTTGGGGGAAAACGTCGTAATTTTCTCACACAAACCAATAACGCAAAGACGGAATATGTATGTTATGAAGTGGAGAATAAACATTGAGCTACTATCAATCTCTCGTGGCCAAGCATTGACATGCATTTAAAGTAAATTGAGTTATTTATTGTGTATTTCTGACAACAAACGAACCCATTAGTACCGCTCATTACTACCAGTCCCTCGCTACAACATCGATACTGAGGTATGTGAACAGGAAGATCGACCAAAGTATTTCACAATGTTGTCACCTGATATATATAGATTATGCTATTGTACAAAAATAGAGATTTAATTATCATCCTCTCAGTTTCCCCGAAAACATCCATTATCCGATTTAGGAGGAAATGTACATGTATATGATCCTAGATGTCATGCATATGTATATGACAATATAAATATAGCAATTGTTTTGTCACGCCTTTTTATATTTTTACCGTCACATGGAAATTTTAAAACTATTTATCGCTATATGACAATATATAAAATCGCCTGAAGAGCCCCAAGATGGACGAAAGCGCTAGTCGTTTATACTAGTCTTCGTGTTTTGTTTTATTTATATTTTACCGTCACATGGACATTTAAAACTATTTATCGCTATGACAATATATATATATGTGTGCTCTCTAAAGGGTCAAGTGGCCGGCGCATTCGATTGTACATGTGCATTACAAACTCGACACACAAACTGAGCGCCTATTATGTCAACGCAGACGGACGTTTGATGAGTGAGCATTGCGTTTTTAATTTACGTCATGTAATCTGATACGGAACCACAAACATGGCGTCGCTTAATTGCGTAAAGCTGTGGGCATATTGACCTACCACTTCACGTGTACATCGGCGAACCAGGAGCTGTGGACATTCTGGCGTTATTTCTATTCGCACGTACACTGTGTGTGATGTCCTTTAACATGATGAGTATTTCGCAAGAAGGCGGGTTGGTTGCACAAATTATGAGTCTTTTGTGACTCAAAAACATTGGCGCGAGCATTAGACGGTACATCGGCATTATTCACTGTGTTATGTTAAAACAGTTTTCAGATCACAGTCCAGCACGATCATACATGTAAGTGACACTGATAACACGTTTATTTATTTTCCAGGTATCCCGGACGCCAATCCTACTACCATTCTGATAAGAAGACGACTTGACATCACAAGCTGAATGAATGAAATGTATATGAACAGACGCAGGTGAACGTCTTGGTCACAACTAAAAAGATAAAAATGAACTATTTAAAATCCGAAAGCTACGATTGAAATACATCAACAGTTGTGATATAGACGTGACGCTGCATCAGTGATCACTCTGACGTCATCAATACGTCATCTGTTCATCATGACATCCATTTCGATGGCGTCTTTCACTACACCGAGGACCGGGACATTGTTCATTGGATTTCTGTTTTTGTTATTATCGTACTTCCTTGTGATGGATTTTCTGGTGTACCAGTCCCTACAGACGTTAGATTTTGTGAACCAGGATTACAAGGGAGGCTACTCGCCATTCCGTCCTCTCTCGGTGAAGCTCCTCATGTTGGATCATATGGATCATTATGTTTATATCCCTTTAGCAGAGGCTGTGTTTAACATATTTGAACCTACGGGTATATATTTCATCCTTACACCAAATGTCATTAGTTTTACGGGTCTTTTTCTCGGCTTCGTAGCCGGAAAATGTGTGTCCATGGAATCTCTGTATCATAGACGTATCGGTGTGTTGATTTTTGAATACCGAATGTGGCTAGATGTACTTGATGGTGTTGTGTTTCGTCACACGTCTGGCAATCCAGCATACAAATCCCATAGAACATCGCTAGGCTTTTTCATAGACGTTGATTGTGACATTTTAAGTGGCATCGCTCTCTCTTTTGGATGTTTATTCTATTTATGGAAATTCCCACCTGCAATACAGCCACATGACCTTCTTTTACCTATCTCTAAACCTTTTTTGAACACGAGTGTAAATGGACATTCCGGCGATTCTCCAGGAAAGAATAACGGAACTAACAACAAAGCTAGTAAAAACTACGTATTCCTAAAGTGCTTTGTGTTCGGGGCTGTTATTACGCTGGCCACTTCCACGTGGGATAATATGATACAGCTGTACTCGGACGTTTTACAGACACCTATGGCAACAACAGCACTGACGGTAGGTATCGTCCCATCACATGGTCTTAGGCCATTTTTTTCTAGTCTGTTTAGGGTTGCATTGGCAAAAAAACTAGGGAAGGTAGGTCGGAATTTTTTATTTTTATTTTGTATATTTTTGGTCATGTGATTATGACCCTACTATTGTATGTAAAACAAAGAGTTACATAAACAAGGTTCATTTGGAGGCAAATTGTGCTCCATATGATGACATTTAGCGCCAACACGGAAGCCATTTTGAAAGGCAAGGAACCTTCTATAATTCGAAAATTAGCGGTTTTTTTTTTAATTTATTCTTTTATGTTTTTTCATCAAAAAGTTTTGGGATCGGGGGTAAAAAGCAAGCTAGGGTCGGTCGGGAACCCTAAACAGACACCTTTTTTTTGGCCTTATCGACATTGTTAAATTTATAAAACACGCGGGAAACAGAAAGTTTTGACCCAATCATTTCGAATGAAACGTCTTATCCGATTTTGACGGCCTTCTCTTACATTCCGGGTACTAGTTCAGTGTTCCATTAGACATTGGTTATATTCAATACAATTATTTTTATTATAATCTATACAGAAGAGTTCATCATTTTAAAGACGACGTACAGTTAAAATAAAATGTTGTAAAAAGAGGCCAGCGGTAAGGAATATACATTGCATATTGGTATTGTAAAATATACACCATCTTCATAATGGATAAAGATGATATCAAAGTGACTTGCTGGTAGTTAATTATGATCAACAGAAAAGTTATGCATATTTTTTTTGTTTGATTATTAAACTAAATGTGTAAAAAGTATATTAAATCTCTAATCGAGCGGTACCCAGAGTTAATGAGATGTACGTCAGATAAAGATGAAACATTTGGATTATACATGTTACATAAGGTCCAGACCTCGTTGTTTCCCTTTCCTTTTACGTCATGTACTTACTTAAACATCACCCCGTTAAACGGTAACCCACCCTAAACACAATCTATCACATATTCGCCAATCTATTAACTTTATAGAATTAAAGTTAGACTTGTAATTCCGCTTCTCTACGAACTTATATTGGAGTGTACCGTAGAGAAGTGGAACTACAAGTCTAATTTTAATGAGATTGACACGCAACCTTGGTAAAACATACCCTATCCTATACCTACACACAATCTAACACACAATCCTAGCAAACAGTATCTCGCCACACACATGATTCGCACAATATTCATGTAAAACATAACTTAAGCAAACGGTATGCCACCATATAAACGGTGCACACAATATAAAAAAATCCTTACACACGATACCGCCATACACACGACGCACACAATCTACTAGATCTTACAACCTAAACACGGTACCCCTCCCTACACACGACGCACACAATCTACTAGACCGTACAACCACCTTGGTAAAACATACCCTATCCTATACCTACACACAATCTAACACACAATCCTAGCAAACAGTATCTCGCCACACACATGATTCGCACAATATTCATGTAAAACATAACTTAAGCAAACGGTATGACACAATATAAACGGTGCACACAATATAAAAAAATCCTTACACACGATACCTCCATACACACGACGCACACAATCTACTAGTATATTGGAGTGTACCGTAGAGAAGTGGAACTACAAGTCTAATTTTAATGAGATTGACACGCAACCTTGGTAAAACATACCCTATCCTATGCCTACACACAATCTAACACACAATCCTAGCAAACAGTATCTCGCCACACACATGATTCGCACAATATTCATGTAAAACATAACCTAAGCAAACGGTATGCCACCATATAAACGGTGCACACAATATAAAAAAATCCTTACACGCGATACCGCCATACACACGACGCACACAATCTTCTAGATCTTACAACCTAAACACGGTACCTCTCCCTAATCTATTAACTTTATAGAATTAAAGTTAGACTTGTAATTCCGCTTCTCTACGAACTTATATTGGAGTGTACCGTAGAGAAGTGGAACTACAAGTCTAATTTTAATGAGATTGACACCAAACCTTGGTAAAACATACCCTATCCTATGCCTACACACAATCTAACACACAATCCTAGCAAACAGTATCTCGCCACACACATGATTCGCACAATATTCATGTAAAACATAACTTAAGCAAACGGTATGCCACCACATAAACGGTGCACACAATATAAAAAAATCCTTACACACGATACCTCCATACACACGACGCACACAATCTACTAGATCTTACAACCTAAACACGGTCCCCCTCCCTACACACGACGCACACAATCTACTAGCCCGTAAAACCCTTACACACGGTCCCCCGCCATACACACGACGCACACAATGTACTAGACCGTACAACCCTAACACACGGTCCCCCGCCATACACTCGAAATACACAATCTACTAGACCGTAAAACCCTTACACACGGTACCCCGCCATACACACGACCCACACAATCTACTAGACCGTAAAACCCTTACACACGGTCCCCCGCCATACACACGACGCACACAATCTTCTAGATCTTACAACCTAAACACGGTACCTCTCCCTACACACGACGCACACAATCTACTAGACCGTAAACCCCTAACACACGGTACCCCGCCATACACACGACCCACACAATCTACTAGACCGTAAAACCCTTACACGCGGTCCCCCGCCATACACACGACGCACACAATCTAATAGACCGTACAACCCTAACACACGATACCCCTCCATACACAAGACGCACACAATCTACTAGACCGTACAACCCTAACACACGGTATCACGCCATACTAACGACACACACAATCTACTAGACCTTACAACCCTAACACACGGTACCCCACCATACACACGACACACACAATCTACCGTACAACCCTTACACACGGTACCCCGCCATACACACGACGCACACAATCTAATAGACCGTACAACCCTAACACACGATACCCCTCCATACACAAGACGCACACAATCTACTAGACCGTACAACCCTAACACATGGTCCCCCGCCATACACACGACACACACAATCTACTAGACCGTAAAACCCTTACACACGGTACCCCGCCATACACACGACGCACACAATCTACCATACAACGCCTGCACACGGTATATGTACCTCGCCCTACACACGACACACACAATCTGCTAGACCCTACAACCCTAACACAAGGTACTCCGCCATACACACGACACACACAATCTACTAGACTGTACAACCCTACCACACGGTACCCCTCCATACACACGACGCACACAATCTACCATATAACGCCTGCACACGGTATATGTACTTCGCCCTACACACAACACACGCAATCTGCTAGACCGTAAAACCCTAACACACGGTACCCCTCCATACACACGACACACACAATCTACTAGACTGTACAACCCTAACACACGGTACCCGTCCATACACACGACGCACACAATCTACCATACAACGCCTGCACACGGTATGTGCACCTAGCCCTACACACGACACACACAATCTGCTAGACCCTACAACCCTAACACACGGTACTCCGCCCTACACACGACACACACAATCTACTAGACCGTACACCCCTAACACACGGTACCCCGCCATACACACGACACACACAATCTACTAGACTGTACAACCCTACCACACGGTACCCCTCCATACACACGACGCACACAATCTACCATATAACGCCTGCACACGGTATATGTAGTTCGCCCTACACACAACACACACAATCTGCTAGACCGGAAAACCCTAACACACGGTACCCCGCCATACACACGACGCACACAATGTACTAGACCGTACAACCCTAACACACGGTACCCCGCCATACACACGACACACACAATCTACTAGACTGTACAACCCTAACACACGGTACCCCTCCATACACACGACGCACACAATCTACCATACAACGCCTGCACACGGTATATGTACCTCGCCCTAAACACGACACACACAATCTGCTAGACCGTAAAACCCTTACACACGGTACCTCGCAACACACACGACGCACCCAATCTACTAGATCTTACAACCCTAAACACGGTACCCCGCCCTACACACGACACACACAATCTACCATACAACACATTCACACGGTATATCGCCCTACACACACAATCTACCATACAACCCATTCACACGGTATATCGCCATACACACGACACACCCAATCTACCGTACAACCCCTTCACACGATACCTTGCCCCACACACGAAACACATAATCTACTAGACCGTAGAACCCTTACACACGGTACCTCGCCACACACACGACGCACTCAATCTACTAGACCTTACAACCCTTGCACACGGTACCTCGCCACACACACGACGCACACAATCTACTAGATCTTACAACCTAAACACGGTACCTCGCCCTACACACGACACACACAATCTACCATACAACCCATTCACATGGTATATCGCCCTACACACGACGCACACAATCTACCATACAATCCCTTCACACGATATCTCGCCCCACAAACGACACACACAATCTACCATACAATCCCTTCACACGGTACTTCGCCCTACACACGACACACGCAATCTCCCATACAACCCCTTCACACGGTACCTTGCGAACGGGGCTCCGCTTTCCACACGGCACACGTAACAAGCACACGATGCCAGCAACCCTAGCAAACGATTAGCAAACCTATCGCACTGTGCACAGACCATTATGTTTATACATGCAACGCATACTTATCTCATCTTTTCTATATTCAACCTTTTGCATTAAAGTGTCACGCTTGCAAGTTTGAATAGAAGGAAGGACGATGTCAACAATCGTTTATATATCTATCCCATTCTGACAAAAACGTATTAAACTAATTCAGAAAGCAATGAAGATCTCGCTAAAATGATTTTCAAAACTTCAGGACCCTCCCCCCCCCCNGGTGTTATATCTTTTCTCGTCGGTAATAACACTGACTGATCAAGACTGCAGTTTTGTTTCATGTCCAAAAAACAGTTGCTTACGGCAGCTTGATTGGGCTTTTCATCTATTACCTGTGTTTTACAATTCTACACTTCTACACTTCTTTGTAGGTCATGTTACTGTTTGTGTAGGTATTGTTCTCCGTGTATAGGATGTCGCATCAAGGGGCGGTATAGTGCTCCGATAATGACGAAATTTCCTTTGCCGAATGATTATAATTCAACAAACACGGATTCTGCCATGATCAGGGCTTGCTATTCGATCATGTCGCCAATTTTCTTTGAATAATTTTTTGCATTGGTCATCAAAGAAAAAATAATGTACGTTGGTTTGTCCAATATTCGAAACCAAACTAGCTTTATCATCAGCTTTAAGTTTGTGTCGTCTCCCGATGGCAGGATCACACTTACCGGTCTAATCAAGTAACGATTAAAAGGAATAAGGAGTACTGGACCATTCGTTTCAGCTGCTGACAATACTTCAAAACTGCGCAGAGAAAATATGGCAGTATTGATCCATAAATAATTGACCCGGAAACCGTATATTGAAGGGCAATAACAGCATCACAAGGTACATCGTTTGTCGTCATGGTGTTGTATACTATTTACACAAAAGAACACTTTGTGTAATTGTCGTGTTACAGGAGCAATTTTTGATGATTACTACGGTATTCAGTCATTACAGGTCATTCGTTTGGAGTCTTTACCATATTTGGGGTAAAGGTCGGACACCAGTGTGCCTAGCGCCTAAACAAACTAGATCCGTCCTACATAGCAGAAATCAGTCGATACCCAGTACAGGTAGAGAAAATACTCCTGTGTAATTCAAATTCACGTCATATCCTGAAAACCCTGTTTACTCAACTGTTTGGATCAATTTATTAAGCACACATCGGTCCACGTTATAAAGGTATGTTACAGAACACCACACATTGCTGGCTGTAGGGATCGTGTATTACGGGGTCGATTGATCAGATGTGGCCAATTATAATAGAAGAGCCCAAAGGCCATTATAAATATTTTCTTCCAGACAGCCATCCAAATCAACCGACACCTCAAAATGTTTAACCTGAGGTTGCTTGTGAACGACCCAAACATTGAAGTAGGTGGAGGGTTACACATACTGGTAAACTCGATACTTACAAGGTAGTTGGAGCTCTACAGCAGTAGATTGCCCATACTCCAATGACGAACTAGTCTCAAGGCTAAAGTATCCAAATATTTGATTTTAAAGTCTTATTTGAATCTTGATAAAAAGAAAAAAAAGTATTATTTCGTATTCGTCTAAGATAATTAAATGATCAAATCTAACGATATTGATTGGAAAACCTTCAATGTATACGGCAACGATCATCTACATATTCAAATCTAAAATGCATTGTATGCACGGAGAAACCTCAAACAGAGGAGTCTAGACTAATATACAATTGAAGATTGCAATGTTAAAATCACAGTTTTGACTGTGTGAACATCGGACTCGAAAGTCTGGAACATCTGCCCATTGGCCTGTACTATACCAGTATTGGGACTACAAAATAATGTTTGTCAACTGTAGGTTAATGACGGAACGTGACACTGATGGTACTAACGATTTTCGTAAATTTATAAAAGGTCAAATATAAGTGACGTCTTTTCACTCATTGAACTTTGATGGCTACAATGTCCGAGTATTTACACGACGTACTGCGGACACTTCACAGAGGTTGAACGCCCGCGTTGACCGAACGGTTACACGCTGTATTGTCGAGGTAATGGCCTCGTGTTAATAGGGTATGTATCGCTAAATATGTCTCTGTGTTTATTTACACAGCTATTGTCAGCTTAAATTGATTTTCAGGTACCCACGTGTCCACGGTATAAGATACATCCTCGTTAAACTAGAGATATGTTACTCATATAAGACGTCATAGAAAACATGACTCAGACATTTTGTGACCCGTTGTAAATACACATAAACTTGCTGTATACTACCAATTTTATGGTTGTTTGTTTAGCTAAGGTCTTATATGATGTAACGAATGGTACCATTATTTTGTCATGCTGTATTGCGGAGACATCAAATTTCAGAACCCGTGCAAATGAGCGCCGCACCATTCGCAGTTAAATTCGTCTGCCAACTGGTGCATGTGAAAATGCAACCGAAAGAAGAGCTCATGATAGAGAAACAAGATAGCGACCCCAAAGATTGAAATAGTTGCAGCAGAATCAATAGAAGTCTCTTCTGCTTATCAACTATTTCAATCCTCACTTCAAACTCCAAACCAAAACCAAATCCCAAACTGATAGATCAATTGTCGTTCATAGTCGTCTTGATATACATTTTCTTTTCTTTTCGAATAAGCAACGAACTATTATCCAACCTATGAATTGTGCTATCATTTTAATAGAATTGTTATATGTTCGGAAAAATATAATGAGAAAGCATATAAGTCTTGTTATATATTTTATACTTGAACATGTTGTTTGTCGTTTGCCATTGCTGTTGATGTAGAATAGTAAAATGGATGTTAACTCTCACGAGATTCTGCGAGATTTTCATCATGGTACCATGTATACGCTGCCGGGACAAGGATGTTTTATTAACATCGAGTTTGTGGTACCTTACCGTGAGACGTTGTGTTTCTGGGTCATATGATGTGTTTGAACGTTTCGGGGACACTATTAATACAACATGGACGTGCAAATACCGAACAGTTTGTGAGAGAAACTACTTAATAAACCAGCATTTGACACTGCGATGTAGAAGTCAACATAAGTGTTAACAAATCTAAACCAACACTGTTAAATATTTACAAGGTCTTGTCAATATTTGTCATTCATTTACTAAGTAAAGCTACAACTTGAAATGTATACCAATCGCAGGTACGTGATTGCCTGTGCATTAAACCGTTACGCTAAAATCGATACCCACCACATATGAAGCTGACGGTATCAGGTGGTGTAACGAGGTTATACCGTAATACATCATACCGTTTTATTGTTGCCTGAATTATCAAACGGATTTACAATGTTATTAAATTCGTATTTTACTGGCATTCTGATCGATACTGAAATTACGACATTGCACTGTAGCTTTGATGGAAGACTTGATTTATTAATGATTTGGAATAGTAGCGTTGTCAATGATCATCGCATTTGTGTCACCAGTATACTTGTGACGTTATATACACGGTAAACAAATGTGACACCGGACACACTGGTTTTTTTTTTTGTCTGTTGTCAGAGGTTTAAATTAAAATAAACGTGACTACGTTTAGTAAACGACAGTCATAGACAATATCTACATGCAGACCCGAGTTAGCAACTAAAACTGACAAATAATGTATGCACCGAATAATATTTTGCGACAAACCTAGGTGGTATTGTGAGCAGGCATCTGCCAATGACTCGAAAACTAAGCGAGTTTACGAAAAAAACATTTCGTTCACATGATTTTTCACATTCAAAATGTCTGTTAAAGGGGAATTTGTTCTAAATACAAAACAGTTCGTCGCTGCCCTCACATTTCTCCCATCGTTGGATCCCTCGTCTCTTGTCTTATTAATTGGTTATCTTCCTCCTTTAGTCGGCCTCGTCTTGCTGTTCAGCTTTCTTTATAGGGTTACTACATTTCCTATGTCAAGAACGTGCATATACAATGTATTTATAGGCATCTCTATAGCGTTGAGTCGGAGAAAACGAATGGACATCTGGTAGGCCATATAACCGTGTACATATGGCTCTTTTCGAGAATCATGTGAAGAACACTATACCGTTTTGATGACTTTATTGTTTTGGTTTCAGGAAAAACAGTTGGAGGCGACGCACTCGGGGGTCACGTGGTTGAGTATGTGGTTGTGGCGATTCTGCGAGGCTCAGACGATACTTCACTTCCTGCAGCTCGCCATTGTCACCGACAAGATCTGGGTAAGATCACCTGTCTGAAATACGGATTTAATGTACTAGCATAACAGTTATTTTGTTCACGATTGGAGGTTGTTTCACGTAATCGTTCTTTTATAACAAGAACACAGTCCCCTCTTTGGCCTTAACCGATGTGCACATCGTACATCTGAAACAAACGTAACGGATTTGGAATCCTCCAATATAATTAGTGTTTTTTCTGCATTTTTTGCTTATGCTTAGCTCTACATACACCAGTTACATGTACATGAATGGAGTTTGGCAAACACAAAGATATTACCCGTCATTTAAGACATTTTACACAAACAGTCTGTGTTCTTTACATGTATATATATATATATATATACAATCATGCATCGATTGTTAACGATTTGTTTTCTGTAAGGTAGTTCGTGTAATCTGTATTAAGTAGAAGTATCTGCTATCTAAAGAGATTGCCACCAAATAACTATAAGAAACGTTATTTATCGTTGTCAAATATACATCTACTCATATATTTTCCGATCAATTTGATGTAAGCATTGCCAAAGTTTGAAATGCTTTCTTTATATACCATAGCTTTTGTAGAATTAATAGGCAAATGCTATGATTTGTCGTATTTTTTGAAAGCCGAAATGCAATATTTATGCTGGCCTTAAACGCATGACTGACCACAATGCTACTACACTATATGATCGTGATATTTCAAAAGGTGTTTTATCATACTTTTGGTTGGTCCTATAAAATAGTTTTCCCTCGTTCTCGTTTCTTTAGCAAAAATTATATCCCCATGTGTCTGGTGATATCAGTTTTGACTACATGAACAATGGTAGTGTTTCCATATACAAAATAGTAATTTATTTCATATCTGATATTTCAGGAATTCCTTAACTTTATTCAGTACGCCGGATTTGTTGCAATGGCGATGTTGAATATATTCAGCTATCTTCAAGTCAGACACGTAAGTACATGTATCAAATATCAAGGTAAAACAACCACAGATAACTTTAGCAGGGTAGTGTGGAAATAAAACTGACATCTTTTACCAAGTAAATATATCATTTGATACAATGTGAAGATGCTAATTGATATCTTTCGAAACTCATGATCAAGTAATATCAAACCTAATGTAATGTGATATACATTGTACCTCATTTTATTACCGTCGCCCAGTCGTTCTCATCCTCGATATCAAGGGGTTACGCTCACTTTAAAAAGCGAGTGTAACCACTGGATATCGAGGATGAGTCGTTCTATGCAAACTTAAAAGTAACGACAGGACAATGTGTCTACAATGATACTGAGAAAATGTTCCCTTTCGATCTTAATAGAACTGCTCGAGTGAGTATAGTACAGATGTAATATCAGATACGACTTGTGATATTCTGCTGAATCATCATTGAGTCATCCCCAAAATCGAGTCCACGGGCATGACAAATTTGTACTACTTTAAAAATAATGATTAGTTACTTACATTTACTATAACCTTCCGCAATTTACACATCCTCGATACTCCAGGGGTTCTGCTTATTTTTTCTCTCTGCACCCCTAGGATATGTCATGAAAAAATCGACGGCTCAGAGTGCACCATTTTGTGGATGAGACAAGAAGACTAGTTTGATCCTTTGATGTACATCAACAAAAATTCTCGGCCGTGTAATGGTAGAATTGCCTCTTGGTTGGTCAGGATTTTTTTACCGGAGACTAATCAAATACCGAGCCGCTTGCCTGCAATTTTGTTATGACATTTTCAAGGGTGCAAAGACTAAAAATGAGCGTAACCCCTAGATTATCGAGTATGCTACTATTGTACAAAGTTACATGTCAGAATATTGATACAACATCCTGGCTGCGGAAGTACTACCAGTTGAAGACTAGATCTTATGAGTTACAATCAAATTACCACCCAATACCATGTAGCTGTCTCAAGGATTCGCAACAACTGTTTGGTTCATAGTAGAATACATGACCATTGCTTTGCGAAATGTTGTGCTTTCAATTATTAAATAATGATCATGTTCGTATGTTTCGTATTGGTAGCTGCAAGTATATTACTGTATGTAAATTGGATTTCGATGTATACGTCTGTCATTACACAAAGATTCGTAATTATTCTATTGGGTATGATGCTTGAAAAGTATTGATAGATTAACACATTTATCAATATTTTCAAGCATTGTACCTTATAGAATTATTACGAAACAGGATGTCGGATACACACCGAATGCAAATAATCTTTGTAAATATCGGTTCCTGCGTGACAGCGACATGCAATCATGCATCGTTTAAAATCAAGAGTGCATGTATTTTAAAGACGTACTTGTAGCTTTTTTGCAATGCACGTTGGAAGGGGTTAGTTTCCGGCATTCACGATCATTGTAAACATAGAAGGTAACGTCAAAAATATCACCCATTGATTCGCCACGTTCAAAAAGTGTAAAACAGACGGCAACAGTCAGTTTATTTAAATGTCTGAGGAGATAGGTCTTAAGAACATATTTGTAATTTGTTCTGTGCCTTTCCGTTTGCATTGTTCATCCCGGTTTCTTTAACCTATTAATCTCATCTGAGTACATCATCATCGAAGATGTATTGTAAAGGCCGAACTAGATTTCGATCCACAGTAGAAATACTTTATTGTGTGGTGGAGTTCTAAAGTATGTCATATAGTTCAAGCCAGTTAAAGACACGTTCGTAGAACCTTTCTTAAATATTTTTGGCATTCTTTGGTATAAACTGGATCATTTCATTCATTTATCCCCCTAATTTGGATTCATTGTTGGGTTTCTTCACAACACGAGGTGTATGCAGTTTATACGCGATGCTATTGGTCAGTCTTATTATTAAATTTGATCTCGGGGTTAATCATTGGTCGAACGTATTGGCTTCACTTTCCATGCTGATCTAAACAGTGAAAGCCGGAATTAAACTCTTTCTGCCGGAGAGAGTGATCCAATGTCTGATGCTGTGTGGCCTGAAATATTTCGTCTGCATTCGATGTACGTCAGATATCATCTCCCATAACTAGCGTGTGGGTATCATTTTAATGTTTATGTCAAATTTCTTCTTTTGAAAAGACGTTAATGTTGAACCCCTAGCGAAAGTATGGCGTGTATCTTTCTGTGAAGCGGACATTGTCGACAGGTACATGATGTATTGGGCGTTTGAAAACATGAAAGTAACTTAAACAAAGGATGGTACTTTGTGCTAGCTCACGAGCTAGCAATTAGATACAAGGTTGGATATCCTTCAATTAGGTGTGTTGCGCCACCATTTTGGTGTGTCAATATACATTTGGTACATGACGTGCGTTTAGCATCATGTTGTTAAATGAACTAATAGTTATTGATATTTTGTTTTTGCAGATGCGAGGTATGCTGGGAATGTTCGACTCATGACAGAAGAACTTATATAAATTATCACTCCATTGCAGATAGATATATATATATATATATAATAAAATGCATCATATTTTCAAATAAATTACATTATTTTTTATATACATGTTTTGTGTTAACCTTGATTATTTTGATATATGGATAATATGATGTAATTTAACAAGAGGCAGATATATAGATAATACACCTACAGAAACATTGAAAATACAAAATGTACAAACCAACCAATGTCATTCATATAACATATATACGATCACACGAACAACTATGTAATTAGCGTGACCTACGGAACTGTCTTAATAATGTGGCCCTTTACTACTGAAACATTACTGGCGACGCACATGTACTTTAACATACATATTGATCACGATACATTTTAACATCATAAGGAGTAGTTGTTGAATATAACATTTGTTTCCTTTTTTACCACGTTTTGATTAAACTTGTATTATATATATAGCATGTAAATGTTGCTTTGAGCAACAAATAGAAAACAGTGTCCAACCCCGCCACACATTTATATGTTGATAACCTATCAATATTTTCGACAGAACTGATAAACCAAAGTACATGAAACACGTCAATCAACATAAACCGCGATTCATTGATGTAGACAATGTCATTAAAGAACCGTTGATACATATTACATACAGATACACGTGAGTGCGGTATTTCTCTATGCTTAGGAATAGTATAGTTTAGTTTAGTTTAAATCAATTTTATTGCAACAAAAGACAAATGGATTGGACAAAAGTTATTGCAACTTACTTACGTCCTTTCCGTAACAGAAAATATATATACAAAATTAATGAGTCACGTAATAACCTAATACAAATTCATATATGTATATATATATATAAGATGTTAAAGATGGGTAACAGCAAAAGAGGTAATGATAGGATTAGGGACACCAACGTATAGTTTTTAAATATGTATTCGGAGATCGCGTGTGTGATTTTCCTAATCAAGTCGGCGTAAGTAGTATAACTAATCTATACACACATGTCCTTCTGCTTTTGCTAGGAATAGTTTAGCCGTACGTGTGGTGAAAGTAAATTATTCACGCAATCTGTGTACTCTGTAATCGATTTCTCGTTAAAAAACACAGTCCTTTGTTGTACTGACAGTGACAGGGGTAAACCCGAAGCGATTATATATGGTTTTACATTATAACTGTCTTTGTATACTGAATAATACATTGCACATGTACCTAAACCAGGTGTGGACTTAAGCGTCTTATTGATAATACAATGATATATAGCAACTGTACCGTGACGGTTGTCATGGCTACCTGTACGACGATACTACATGTACCTCTAATCGCTTAATAAGATGTGTGTAACATAGACATCTTCACAGACAAAGATCAGAATCGGCGGTATTTCAATGGATTAAAACAAAGTTTGAAATGTGTACAGAATAAATAGGTGTAATGGGCAATACATATACACATGTATATTTACTTTTTGGTGTTGCCCACAATTTTAAACTCAGAAAAAGACTCTAAAAAACTAATAAATTATAATTGTCATGTCGGTTGTACATGTATATTACTTTCTGGCACCAAACAATATATAGAACTTCATTATTTCTGAGATTGTGACAAATTTTTTTGAAGATGTAATACTAAACTTGTTCAAGCACTGCCAAGCGTAGAAAGCTACATGTAGAATGTATCGGACATTATTTCCATTGTCAAACAGATCGAATAAGGCATAGAATAGTTTTCTGAGTTTGCGGTATTATTCCAGTATTTATATTTTATGATGGCCGAGCGGAGGGAGTGTTAACAAATTCTCTGAAACAATAATAATATAATATACAACATTTGATATAGTGCCCTATCTAGCTAACATAAGCCACTCTAAAGCGCTTTACAGTACATAGATATACAATTATTACAATTAGGATATACAATTTTGAGGAATTCACAGGAGCTCCGTTATCAGGCGCTAACTACTAGTCATATGCCACCTTGCTAATATCTCCCTATGTGTGTATGCCTGCATGTGTGCTGGAGATGTATTGTGTTCTGTTTGTAGTGGGACCGTGCTTCCAACGGCATCTTTTTTTATAGTGTCACCTCACTTGAATGCTACATCACAGATACCGCAACATCCACCCAGACCATTTTATACTCCATCTGGGTTGTTGGAGTTGTGTGGGCATGAGAAAAACACTTTCTCTGATATTTCATGCGTGCGACGCAATGGTAAAAGTGTAGGTTTTTGGTTAAAATGTTGATATTTGTGTCATGCCTTTCATGTGCATGTAGTTTAGGCGAGCATTTTGGCAATTAAATATCAATTTATTTTGTCATAAATATGAATTATGATTTGACTGTTTGTCTTTTCTTGTGAATTTGTATGCATGCATATGTACAAGGGCAACACCTGTTAAAAAGGATATATATACATTATACAATTATGGACTTTTGTGCTGGTGAATATGATGTGATATGAACCTGAAAGAGTGATATTGACTGAGGCGAAGTTGAGGTCAATATCACTCTTTCAGGTTCATATCACATCATATTTACCAGCACAAAAGCCCATAACTGTTTTATTATATGCTTCAACAATAAAATAAAACAAAACAAAACCAAAGGTTCTGATTTTTGTACGCGAGCCTCCATGTAAAATTTAGCCAGGATTGAATACAACAGTTCATCATTGTAGCTTTCGAAGGCATCGTCTAGATTATTTTTCTTAAGATAAGCATGGAGGACATGCACTGCGTGTTCAATGGCCTTTTTACGTTAACATCATCTTTATCCTCGAATAGTTTTGGTAATTTTCCTAACGGAGGAGAAACGTTCGCCAGCAGCCATCTTCTAATGTCGTCTGACAGATCGCGTTCCAGTCTAACTGCGCATGCGCTAGGACAGTTTCCGGGGAATTTCCATACAGGCTATATTTAGAAATCGATATTCACCGGATAACCAGTCTACATGAGTTTTTGAGGACTGATCACGTGTAAAGGATCCGACCAATGTGATTGCGAGAAATGTTCATGCATATGATAATGGTTATTATTTACCTGAAAACGTGATGCTAAGGTGGATGTATTATTGTCTTTGACATTGTTAAAATACATTTTTTAACAGCTATAATAAATCACTCCTGGTGATCATGTGTACATGAAACCACAAATGAAAATAAGGTTTATCTATCATGAAATGGACTCTACCTTTGAAATAACAATTAACATATATACCTAATTCCAACAGATGGTTTTATCCTCTCTCAACGGACAGCGTGATCACCACACCGTGACATTAGAACAATACGATTAGGTAGACAGTCCGTTGAGCCTTCACCACTGACCTGACTGGAGACCCTACTAATATATAAACAAAAGAGGATTTACCCCCTATTGTTTAGAGTATAATTTGTGGACTCCTTGTTTGGGCAACTGCACCCTTAGGCATATATAGATATTCAAACTGCTGCTCGCCATAGAAAATCATAGTTCACAGGATGGTTGATATTAGAAGAAAATCCCATATGAAAAAGAGGAAAATATTCAAAAACCAAAGTCCAGATTATTTTTGGACACAGAAAAAGAGTGTTGCCCGGGCAACTAGGGCAACACCCCTGGGTCCGCCACTGAATTTAATATCCTTCTCCCAACAAATATCGTTATAATAAATGTTAACATAAGCACAGAACTTATAATACGTCATTAGTACTCGGATGGTGTGCGCATGCACTAATATATTAGCAAAATGACATTACTATCTAGATCTGTGTATGCCTGATATCTTTTCAGAAACTTGTTGATTGTTAAATCTGGTTATGTCATTATTTTCATCTCTTTTTTTTCTCCATAGTTTTCATGTTTTAACACGCAGCATCAAATCGTTCCATATTTACACAAAAAGACAGACTCTGATAATCTAAATGCACTCTAGATAACCACAATTGATATTTTTACTTCAAAAGTTTATACTATGCGTTTTCTTTTGTGAATCGAAGATAAACTACGTTGAACCGTACACAAAAACAAAAACGTTGAAAGTCCTGAATAAAGTTAAGAGAAAAGCTATATTTCGCCAGCCAATAAGGTTCTTCCAAGGTGAGAGTTTAAATAATGGTCGATAAAGTATAAAGTTTTTACTCTCCCAAAAATGAAATATCATGGCTAATGACGTCATTTCAAACTGTGTAAGACAAATTCTTGGTTTGGTTTTAACTACAGATTTTGATATGTTCAAGATTAGTATTTATCGATCTCGAACCTTAAATTTTACTAGATTTCATCTCAATGCTATCTTAAGAAACATACAATGAATTATACAGATATCGTCACAGTGTAAGTAGAGAACTATACATGAAAGAAAGGTAGAGCTAATAAATCGTCTGTTTAATATTGAACCGCTGACGTTCTGTATGATAAACTCTTAAAAACCCACACACATCACGTAACATATTGGTAACATAAATTTACTATACTGAACAATGGTATCAAAAATACTAATGAAACACACTGTCTTATGTCAGTGTCGAGGAACTGGCATTTGAAATCGGTTTGCCTTATCAACAAGTCAAATTTAATCTCGATTTAAAAGGCATATCCGTTAAATGCCGCGCGTATATTACAGATGAATCACATTAATGATTTATAAACGGCAATTGTTTAAAGTGTTTCCAAAGTACGTCGCCGAATTGATTTCCAATAAATATTTGCATCTTTCATGTGGCATTCATAATCAATATGACTGCCAACAGGATAGTGAACAAATCAACATGAAGGACTCCTTGGAATTTGTCACGTTCCATTTGTTGTTCTCATTGACGATGTGGATGATATCTGAAAGCAGTGCCATGCTTAAATCACACAGTTACAATATAAGACATAACAGTCTATCGTGGACTGTGAATGGTCAATTTACAGCTCATGACAGAAAGTTGACCCCCGCCCCGCTAGGATCGTACGAAATTGTCTTCGAGACATCCACGATGTCAACAAGACGTAGACCAACGCGACTTTTGTTTACTCAATGGTTGATAACACTACATACAGTAATGGAAATAAACACGATAAAAAGCCACCCATTCGTTGATTTAACTCTGCATTGTATATTACGTAATAAGGGGCGA